CCTCCCCAAATCATTAGTGAACGAAACTGTGACAGTTATGACCACTGTACAACAAATACACGGTCCTTACAGCTGATAATGATGATGAGCTGTTGAACGCCCTGGTATTTTCTCCCCATTCTGTCTGCAGTCAGCTAAAAGAAGGGGTGACAGAAACTGTAGTTATTTGGCATGCAGGTACTGGCGAATAAATTTCCAAGATGACTGGTACACCGTTCTATGTCTACCTTTTGTTATTTCAGTCTTTAGCTTGACAAACATTCTGTGCATTGAATTTTTCTGCACGTAACCCATCTCAATGCTAGCCCTCCGCGCAACACGTATTTTGCTATCTGCAAGTTCTGGAGCTGGTCCGGCGCTTCGTACCGGACCTTCTATTGCCAATGGTTATGTTTTGCGTAACATAGCCTCCAAACCGAAGTTTGTAAGCGCCTGTCTTTGTGCGGCGACATCCCTTAGGACTACCGATGGATACAGTGGGGTTCATTCGTGACCCTTGCAGGTTTTCTTGCCGGTGGAACTATGTATATGTCCCAAGACCTTGAAAAAGGTGAGGTTTTGCTTTTTTCTCTTGCCACTCAAATACATTGTGTCAACTGTTCCCATTGAGCTTCCGATATATATATATATATATATATATATATATATATATATACGAAGTAAAATTCCACTAACAGGTCTGTTATTTTACATTGTAGGTACACACTTGGATAGACTCCCTATTTGTCCACACTTTAAATCGGTAGTTTTTATTCTCGTTATGTTTGTAACGGCTTACACCTTCCATCGCATGTGAGGAACTGCGTTGAATGTTAGGTGAAAAACTTACCAGTGTTTGGTGCACGCAAGTACCTTACTAAGCACAGTTTAACCCTCATTTTGAGTCCTGCACTAGAACAAGCAGGGTTCCATTCTGGTGTATGAACCGTGAAGGGTCATTGAATATCTCATGTAATGTTTGGGATTCCTGGCAATTTAAATGCTGCGACTCAGGTGGACAACATAATGAGGACAGTCCATCACACAGTTTTGAAGTGCTACTATCTAACCTATTGCTGCTTTCGTTCTGAAGATTAATGCATACTTTAAGGAATCGACAATCCGGAATGCGTACAACAGGCTAGCTGGTGATAAGGCTCCCTAGCCTCAATGAAATGATGACTATTGCTTTGCATATGAAGTGGCTATTCATGGTCCGGCTGAAACTGAGGCACACTGTAATGCTAATTCGGATTTAATCCACACGCGTTCTACTCTTAGTCCTTTCCGCTACGAACAGCCAGGACCGATGCTGACAGGCACTCCCAATACTGTCACTTCCCTCGCGGTTACCCACCATCCACACTATGAGCTTAGTTGTGGTGCACGTTCCGGTTTTGTCCTCTTCATTTCCTAGCACAGCTGAAAGGCGTAGGTTACGAGACGTAAGGCATATAGATTTTTTGCACGACTGTGCGAGCAACGGACTGGAGCAGACAGATAATTCTAAGTTAGATAGCATCACATGGTCAGAGTCCTTGTTCCAAAACTTGTGTACGTAGCGCTTGCTGCTGAATTATGATTTTGTTTCCTATCTGCGAAAGTGAAGCGGATATAAGAGCTCAATATTTAGTTGTGGCCTTTTTGTTAGGTCACGTTACCTAAGGTGCAACAACTATGTCGTTGGTTGTTCCAACATAGGGCGAAATAGTGGTGCAATAACTCGCGTCAAGGTGACTTCCCCGCTCTTATTGTTTCATGGCGTAGCTGCTTAGTGTCACAGCTGGTGATTGATTCGGCAGCCTAAACGCGTGTTATTTGACTCATTGCCTTCTCTATCATATAGACCGTCCTAACTTTTTACGTTTTATTCGTAAGTGCTTTTTCAAACTTACAATCTCCCAACCACACAGCACTCACCTAAAGCTAAACAGACTTGGGCTTAGTGTGGTGCCAGTTTACCCGCCAAAATAATCTCAATCTATTGGTTCTGACTGTTCATTTGAAAGCTGACTTACAAGTTTTCCAGAACTCGAACCACTAGCTATTCTGTCAGCGGTTGTTCTGTTTTCTACTCCTTTTAGAAAAGCGAAGAGCAAACCGGTCGTTCGGTCGCCCAGCTATAGGCGGGGATTTCAATTTGATCGATCATAACGGCAAACCATGCAGTCTGGCGTCCTTTCGTGGCAAATGGGTGCTGCTCTATTTTGGCTTTTGCCATTGTCCCGATATTTGCCCGGAACAGCTAGAACGATTGGTGGAGATTGGTGACCGAATAGGTAACTGTAACACGGTATTTCGTCGTATCTGTTTGAGTTAACTCATTGCCGCGGTAAAACAACCCTATCGCCTCTTCCGATCAATGCTTTCACAGCTCTGACGGGCGCGACCAATCAAACTCTAGTTCCAGTTTTCCTCACTGTGGACTATGAACGCGACACGCCTGACGTTGTAGCCGGGTATGTCAAAGGTAAGGCGCGCTGTTATTTTCGTTGTGTGGAATCTTGCCAGCTATACGTGTGTGCCTTGTGCATTGCTCGACAGATTACTTAATAAGAGAGCCATACGAACAGTTACTGTGCACCCCGTGTTCCACAGCGGTATTGTTACCATGGGGAAACGGGGGTTCCTGTACATAATTTATCTTCGTGCGTAGCATTTGTAGTACCAGATAAATTAGGAAACTCTTGGAACCGATCGGGAAGTCATCGGTTCAAGGCAAATCTACCGATCGGTTTCCCAGGTTTACTGAAACGATGCTTGTGTAGTAAATTCTGGTCGCAAACCCAGTATGTAAGGTGAACCAGAATCAGTATACAAAGACTTACCTCATCGTCACCATCATTGACAGCAGTACTCCAGCAGTACATACCTGTGCTTAACTGCCCTAGTGAAGAGTAGAAAGAAAGGGGGATAGCAGGACGTAGTGCGAAGAAAACCTAGGTCCTTAAGAAGAACTAGCAAGAATAAGGTACCCAAACCTCTTGACAGCACTAAACGAAACGGATCTGAGCATCATTTTTGCACCATCAGCGGGATCGGTCCAGCGCATGTCACTTGACATAATTCAAGCGCTCAAAGGCTGGGCAGTCCAGCTGGAAAATGACAGCATGCGAGCCACTGGATCGGTTGCTTGCCATGTGCTGCACGGTTTCCAACCCTCTGCAAGCAGGACCACTCGGACTGCGGCCAGGAAGGCGTGGGGGCGAGATGGCCCAAGTGGTTAGAGCACGAACTTACTGACCGGAAGGTTCGTGGTTCGAATCTGACCTCCGCCACTCGACTTCCCCTGTCTAGGCTTGGGCAACCTGGCAGTATCCCAGCCCTCGTGCTTCCTTCGGGTGGCATGGCAGCTAGGCACCGGAAGGGTGCTTCAGCTGAACGCTTTTTCACTCAATTTGATAATAGCCGTTTTCATTTCACGTTGTCATATCATGGTTTGTTTTCCGCAAACGTTTTGCCTGCAGTCGATCGGACCAAAAAACAGCGCTACCTTTGGTATACGCTGGTTGGACACGCGTACTAGAGCGTTCAGTATTCCGATCAGTGCGAGCTCTTATCAAGGTGGAAAGTCGAGCGGCACGGAGACGACTGTTTACAGGTATCCAGTCGAGCAATGAAGATTTGGGTCGAGAACTGAAGGGCATACCAATATCAGCGTTGCCCACTGCAACAGTTTCAGAATCGCTTGAATTTCGTAGTCTGTAGCGTCTAGATAGAGAGGGTGCGGTAAGCTCAATAACTGCACTTAAATCCTATATCCGAGCATGCAGAAGACGTCAATGGACAGAGTATCTAGAGCACGCGTAAGAGCAGCATGTTGGTCAATTAGCCTAATAGATCAGATGTTAAGGCTGTGGTGAAAACCGGTGAACGAGGCCTGACTAGCGGACTGGACGCGCCTCGGATGTGAGTGGTAACGGGCGCTGTATCATATCTATAGGTGCCTGGGACTGACGTGCCTATACCTGAAATCTACATAAAATACAGGAGAGATAACAGTGGAAAACATTGTTAGGCATCAGCAGTTACATGTTTTGCTTATGCGCGCTGTTGTGCGCAGCGACTGAGGCTGGAGATAACCCAGTGGTTAAGATACCAGCCTACTGACCAGAGGGTCCGTGGTTCGAACTTGACTTCTGCATCACGACGTCACCTGTCTAGGCTTGGGTAACCTGGTAATATCCCAGCCCTCGTGATTCCTTTGGTTAGTATGGCGGCTAGACATTGAAAGTGTGCTACGGCTGAAGAATTATTATATTTATTTATTTATCCTCATACTTTGTGCCATAGATCGCTCTAAATTCTATATTTTGAGCGAGGGTAGACGGCGCCGTACCATCGCGAATAATTTTCTAGTTGTTTGTCCTGCTCGTCTATTGTAGTCACACTAAGACGGATGAGGGAAATACTTTCAATCGAAGTGGCTCGTTGGTGAATTAGTTGGAAATTTTGACCATCTTGGATTTTGAAGTGGTTTTTCGTTACTTTTCACGACCACCCTGGGGATTCAGATAGGCATCGGGATTGTGAGACTCGGATCTAAAGTTTAACATGTTTTTTCGCTCACTTTTCGCTGAACGCTGTCTGACTGTTCTTATTTTCTCGCATAGAATTCTCCCCGAATTTGGTTGGACTGACCGGAACAAAAGAAGAAATAGACAAAGTAGCAAAACTATATCGTATTTACTACAGTGCTGGCCCCAAAGATGTTGATGGTGATTACATCGTGAGTCCAGTTCTCATGTACCCTGTATTTCCTGTTTTTCACTGTAGCGTTTGTTTGCCAACACTTTAGTGGTCTTATAGGTAGCATTATTTATGGGAGAAATACTTCGGTAGTGAATGTAGACCCAACGGAATAAGTAGCCTTCAAAGCTCATGTTCATTAGGTGGATATCGTTAACGGGAGATTCGTTCGAATCTAGATGGAATCTCCAATTCCCATTAATTAGTATTCTAGTGGTTAGCGGCTGAGTAGCCCATAATACTGTTGAGTGAGCTTGGCAGACATGGTTATTGGGCTTTTTTCCACTTTCGAGACAGTGTCACAGCCCACACATCCAGTCAACTGGTTCTACGGTAGCTACGATTCCATCTTACCACCAAAACGCGCCCCCAGATGTCTTTTCGTCCACTGTCCGTGTGTTTGGATTCCTCACTTCACGATCCCCTCCCACTCTCTGACAATTTACACCAATGCATTTTCGGGATCTGGACGATACGAATGTCTGGGCCACTAGGACAGCTGTGGCCGTCATGCAGCCAATGACAATCTTGCATCAAAGCTATCTCCTTCACTGCGGAGCTTTCTCAGCCTCTGTCGTACCGGACCGACAGAGCCATTTCACTCCAATGAATTGGCTGAAACATCGCCTTCAGCGAATGACTGCGATTTTTTTTTACTGTCATTATTCTCGTTGAACGAAGCTGAGGGAGTTGGAACACACAGACTCTAGCTGGATAATTGACTAGCTGACCGACGAGCGACTCGCTGATGGCACTAACATACAGCCATGATACCTGACGTATACCAGCCGTTGATCCCTTTAGGCCTGGCGGAGAGCAAACGTTTTTCGGGGGCTCGCTAATAGAGCATTTGTTCAGTGGGAGATCGGCGGTTCTTGTCCGTCCCTCGGTGTGCCTTCTTCGTTTTGCATTTACCTGATATTTTCATCTGAGGAGCATTCAACTCTTATTCAACTCTCTAAAAAACATACGGCAGACAAGGATGAAAAAATTCACTTTCCGGGAGCAGCCGCCGAGCATGCCGCCGAATTTAAACGTACAGAAGCCGAAACGGTGCTGAAAGCTAACCTACTCTCATGTGATTTCTATCCGTCAAATTCAGTCGGCTTTTGTTGTTCACCCAATTTCGGCTGAATCACGGTAGCACGTGATTAGCTTGCAGATTAATTCTTAACAGGATGCCAATTTTGATTGGTTTCGTTTTGTGTAAACAAATATACAACCGAGCCTTTCAGCGCCCTCATCTTTCATCATTCAGTCAGCCACTAGCCCATCTACATGGTGGCAACGTTAGGCATAACAAAAAGTGCTCATTTAGCGAAACATACTCATTTGCAAACTAATTTGGTTTTTCTAGAGACTCACCTTGAACGCAGCGTAATCTCTCGTGGGCTGTCGACGAATTTTCAGCAACCGTATGAGTAGTGTATTACGAAAATAGCTCAACTTGTAAATCAGCTGACTTTAACTTGATTGATCGACCTATCACACCATGAGGCCGAGCTATGATTCTCAATACGAATACAGTTGATTTGGTTATAAACCATTCCGGAACACTTCTCAGCCTCTTTTACATTACTTAGTTATTATCAAGACATTCTCCGTCTGAGTGATGAGGACTGTTCGAAGTTTTCAACTATTCACAACTTTGCTTCGACTGTTTTACCATTAGGCATTGCAAACGATTCCCTCCTCTATTTCCAGGTCGACCATACTGTTGTGATGTATCTTCTCGACCCCAATGGTGAATTCTGCACGTATTACGGTCAAGTGAAGCCGGTCCCTGAGATATGTCGCGATATTCTTGCTAAAATGGCCGAATTCAAAGGCTGATCGTACGTGTTATTTTCAGCACTGCAAAAAATTTTGCTTGAATTTCCCCTCCCTTCTCAAAGCAAACTGATGCGTGTTTGTATGTACTTTTTTCTATCAGATCAGGTCTTCTAACTCAGAATGGTGTTCTTTACCAGAAAGCTGTTCATAGAGTTCTGCAGGTTGAATTTTATTCTTCGTTCCAATGTTCCCATCCGATGATGGAGTCCGAATGTGGCCTCTCTCTGCCTGTTTTCCGCGTGCACAGAAGCTACTTTGTAAATATTTGTTCTCCGCCTTTTTCCATTACGTCTTCAAACCTGTATAATTAGTGAATTTTTTGAAAAGGTTTCTGGTGCGTGTGGAATTTATTTCGATTGGGGCGTTAGTACATTGTCCTGTCAATGTGGTGCGTGAACGACAGTTTTTAAATAACGATTTTTCGCTTCCATAGGAGATGACTAGTCTGACTCGAGGAAGTTCTGCCGTGAAATGGAAGATCCCTCATGTTACTTTAGAATCAAAGAACCGTTGAGTCAAGCCGTAACTGTGGCAAGTTCCGATGACTTTGCTCGCGGATTAGGGATTGGAAGCAAGGTGTGTGCAGCCGATGATCCACCGTTGGTCCGATTGTGAAATTCTCTAAACCTAGTGAAAATCCTTTACCTTCATATCACTTTTGCCAGGCCATTTCAGCCTAGCGGCTGCCACTCCCCCGAATACTACCCATTTCGTTTCACATGGTCTATTGACTGCGTTTCTATGGGGATATTCCAGTTGACATTAGGGTTTCGCGTTAAGGCGGGCTGTATGAACCAAATTGTGACCATCATTTCTGTAGTCAACCACTGCAACGTGAGCATACAACCGTGATGCGACCGTGCTAACTCATTTACTAGAAGCTGTGTAATGAAAAAAAACAAGGTGGGTGGGAGCATGTCACTTAACGCTAGCCTGTTACAAGCACCCTTAAAACACGTAGGCAATCTGGCCAGGTGCGGACAGGGTCAAGGAAGCACAATCACGGGCGATTAGAGCATCAGAAACATTCAGTTTCCCATAATTCCTTGTATTATTTTTTGCCAAGCTGTACACTCCATAGGAATTTGATATGGCAAACGACGCGTAACGTATGCTTGCACTACTGGATGTATTCCACAAGTACGCCCCATCCGAGCAGCCGTCTGCTCATCCCTTCATGGCGAATTCTTTGGCCACAACTTATTTCAGCTCCAGTTCTACGATACTGATGATCAAAGCCAAGGTATTTCGAATTCTTCGCCCACAAGCGCCATCCGTACCGTAAAAGAACTGGATGTAGACGAGTAAACTAATCCTTTTCACTAGTCAAACTTGCCAACGATAGACGAACGCGTTTTTGGTATCGATTTCTTTTCTTGCGAATTTCTCTACTATGGAGTGTGTCGCACTGAACTTGTTTAGCATGTGCGTGGAACTAATTGACCCGAAAGGTGATGCAAACAAAAGTCAGTACAATTTAGATGGTACAATTTGGTACAACTTGGGATGCCTCGGCGTGTCATATATGGCAGACGAACGCGCAGGATGGGACCGCATGATCCCCACTGCGCCTGGTTGAAGACACCTCAAGATATGACTGCCAACCGTGGCTTTGTCAGTTTCTATCCAGATTGTCTGAATAGGTGTCTGGAGGTGTATGCACCTCGGAAGGATTGTAGTAAGATAGTACTAAGTCCATTCCCCGTTCACCTTTATTCTTTTCATCACAATAAGGCTTTAAAAAAAATCATGGTTGTACGGCAATGAACCACAGGTGTTGAACACTTATGTCATGCTGTCGATGATGATTATGAGGCACACGGTGTGGAATCGAGTCATGTGTACCAGGGTAGGTGCAGCGTTTGAGTCGTCCTTTTATGAAAGAGGGCCAGGCCCAGATCGTGCACGACAAAGAAACGGGTGTCTTACTCGTGGTGTCAACTTTAAAGAAATGTCAACCTGTTGGCCGCAATGGATCAGGTGTCTGGTGGCGCAAAAATCGAGGTTCCAGCCAGACTTAGAACGACTGTCACCGGATTTTTCGCACTTCGAAACATGTTCTTTTACCCGCCTCTCAAGCCTCCTCGAAGTCCTCTCAATGCAAACCTCACCAAAGTTGCTGATGAAGGAGTAATTGTGATTGGACGATAAGTTACTCATGGGGGTGTTCTAATCAACAGTATCGCATTTTCCCTGGTCTTCAGTGGCAAGTGTAGCTGTGTGGTGTCATACATTCTTTTGGGTGCTATGTTTGGTTTTCATCGTGGCATGGGTAACTCCCCATTGCGTGACTGATGAAAAGACGAAATTCTTCACCTTGGCTCCAGGGCGAGCTATACAGTGGTGCAACACAGCACTTCTGGATAATCGTTTCATAAAGGTGCCCTAAGTGTGTGCATTTTGCGGTCAAGTGACTGACTTTATGAATTAAACAGCGAAACAGGGAACGCGTGTAATATGAGGAAAAACGGTTGTGAAATTTCTGGCATCGTCGCTTCTCGAACGTTTCACCGTACCACGTTTCTGCCTTGTTACTGAGACATCTGAGAATGCAATTTAGCTGTTGTCTCCGGATTTGTGAGTGAACTGAACGTTCTGATGAAGTTATTTGGGAAAGGAAAGTACGTCTTCTGTTTGTGAGCATTGACGACCAACGACCAAATTGTCACCTAACTAGCCCAGTACAGCTGAATTTAGCATACCTGCCACTTCTGTCATTTCCATTCTGGCTATCAACCAGAGGAGGACCAAATAGATTACCTGTGGCCACTTAGTAAATTTGCCGATTTCCCGTTAATGAGACTTGAGCTAGCTCAGTGGTTAACGTGTCAGCTTACGGACCGGATGGTGCGTGGTTCCAACTCAACCTCAGCATCTCGACTGCTCCTGTATAAGGTTGGGCAATCAGGCAGTATTTCCGCCCACGCCTCCTTCCGTTGGCATGGTAACTAGGCACAGGTACATATCTGAAGTGTTTGATTTTTCCTGAAAATGAAGTTTTATGCTTTTTGAACAAGGTCAGATATGATATTCAGTAGCTGGGGCTGGAAGTGCGGACAAGCGGCACTTAAGGTCTTAAGCGGAATTCCAAACAGACTGCTTTACCGCTCGCAGGTGGGCGCTGCTACGGCCGAGCAGCCTATGCCGCACACGATTGACCAAAAGTTCGAGCTGCTTGCTGGTCCAGCATCAAGCGGAGCTCTGATTGGTTGAACCCAACAGCCAATAACGATCCGATGTTCGCCTAATGGCGGTTGCCGATGGCGCATCCAGAAGGCATTAGAATTTCCAGTGTTGTCACTGCTGTACACGCGCTGTACAAGTGTTTTTGATTTGGTGTTTGGTGTTAATATACGTTGTGAACCTTTGACGATTGTTTTTCAGGAGAACACCAGCTTTGGATTTTCAGACCGAGAATGTACATCGAGAGAACACATTCGAGTGAGGAATATAGGTCGACTTCGACACGCCTACCTATTCGAATGCACTCCTCAAATTATGAGCCGCTGACACTGGCATAGGTTTTGGTAACCATGGGCTAATTTGTGATAAAATGAGTCACTAATGGCCAAGATAGGTCGTTATGGTCCACCATGTTTGAGCCTTTGACAGTTTGTAAAGTTCGGACTACGGAGATATTAGGACTGATACGTAACCGTGCAAGCCTAATGATTTTGGCTCACGTACAGGTTGCTCTTCCACGAGCAAAACGTTATCCGATTGAGCGTCCACCTTGAAATTTTTCGCGTCCAACGGAATAAGCTGTGTTTGATAACGTAATGTTTTATGTTCAGGATAACTGGCTACGGGGTAGCAATGCCATTTGCATCTTAGTTGACGCGGCAATTCGATGTGGATTTTTATCGAACTTTTTTTGGACAGTTGGGTAGGGAAGTTGTAAAGTGAAGTCACCAAATTTAGACTAGTCAGAGTTAGATTTGGAGTCTAAATGGAAGGGTTTTTGAATTCGTTTGCGAGAATTGAAATAGTAACTTGGCACGCAGGAACTTTGTTCCCATTCGGAAATGTAAAAGACAGACGAGTGTTAGGTCTTTCACGTTAGGAAATGCGTTTTTTCACTTGTTACTTTGTGGTCTTTTCCAACAATGGCGCCAAGATAACAGGTGAATTTTTATTTCACAGCCAGGATGGTCCACGAAGAACAAGACAATCAGGCCTGAAACCAGGTGAGGTGTCGGGTACAGTCTTTTTGGATGAGCGGGATTATTTTGAAAATTTCAAGTCATTCAGCCACAAGAAGGTGCTTACTCAACCGTAAAATGTTTTGCTTGTGGAATGCGAAATCGTGCGCGAGTTGCAAATGCCGCAGTTGCACGGTTTTTTATATCTGGGTAACAATACCGGTTTCTGAAGTTATGCTTGCTGTTGATGTTGATTTAGTTTATCAGCATAGGGAACCACCCAACAATTTAAACGAGGAACTAACTGGACATTGGACCAAACCAAGTAGAAGAATACAACAGTTGTCCACAGTACTCGACATAGAAATGAATCAGGATCGCACTCGGATAACCGTAGCGCCCCAGTTATATCAAGTGAGCCGGTAAGAATGCACAAATGCGGTCGGAATAACCAAACAATTCCCGTGTTTAAACGCACCAGGTATTTCAGAGGGACGACTGGGAGTATTCAGCATATGAGTGCAACCTTCAGAGTTTCCAAACAATGGCGTAACACGGATGTAGGAAGAACTATTCAAAACAAAGGAAGAACATTTCCAAGAAGCCCACCAAATAAGAGGAATTTGCACTGCAACACGCTAATAATCCAGAGTGCAACCAGGGAACCGAAATACTTCCTAGCTACCAACTTCAGAAATGTAAGACTCCCTCGACTAGATTGCATAAACGCAAGCTAGAAAGGACGAGTCACCCACTGAGCAATGGATCAACAGCGTCTCTTCGAATTGTGATGTGCACCTAAAGAGTAATTACCAAGCTTGGACACTAAGCTAACGAGTGCTTTTGCGATGTGCACTTGAAGTGGTGCGATGTTCTGGCTCTACTCCCAACCCCAGGACCCATCATTAGAAAGTCCGTATTGAGTCTACTACTATGAGTAGTTTGTATTTATTGCGAAAAATGCACGAGCTAACACAGGTTAGCAGTCGCCAGAGTCCTTGGCAAATGACGAGTGGTTTTTTCCCAGATGCCTCTTTGTCAGGGTTCGTTTTCCTGAAAAGAATTCTCGTTTGTCGGTGTGGGCTGAATCAAGTGAAGAAAGTGAGTTGTAAATATTTCGTGTGGGTCGAAGTACCGAAAGCAATTACAAAATAATCTATTTCACACATTATTTTGCGGAATGTTGCAAATTTTTAGGATCTATATACTCTTTTTAGAGTTCAGGGAAGACGCATGTTGTCAAGTTTACTCGGTTGCTATTGATCGATTCGGTTTGAACGAATATATTTTTTCTGCTCATGGGACTTGATCAGCGTCTTTGGTTCCCGACCTAGCTGAATGGTTCTTCGTTCATCCTACACTCGTTGGATAACTGACCTTTTCAATTTCGCATAGGAATCCGGCGAGTAAAATATCAAACTGATGAACGAAATCGCACCTGAATTACAACGGCCTCAATCTGCAGTAAAGTTCGGGGAGTTTTTTCTTCGAAAACGTGTTTTTGATTCATATAACTGGATTTTCAAATCTACATAATCATCAACAGGAATACTCTTGCTAGATTGCAGTCTGAGAAAAGTTGTATTCCTAATTGCACAAGTTTGGAATGAAGTATAGTATGAAGGACGTTTCTAAATTAATTCCTCTGTGGTAAAGTAAGTGATTGTGAATTATCCAGGGATGATGTATTGCTATTTGTCTTTTTATTGGGTACGCGCCAATATAGCTGGCGGTGGTTTTGACTGGACATCGTTTTCATCTCGGCTTTAACATCAGTCGGGGTCAGTGTTCAGTAGCACACGTTTGATAGTAATTTGGATAGATCGGTCGTCTTTCGTTGGAAGTTGCATGATTGCCCGATAAGAGAGGGAGTCACGTCCCAAAAGCGCATAGACCAGAGGGACGCAGGATGAACGCCGCATGTTTGGGGTGTATGGTGTCTGAACAGGAAAGCTTTTTCACTCTAACGCTTGACAGATTCGCGGTGAGTGGGCTAAGGTGCCACAGACTGATTACGTATTGCGACTCGTAGGCCGTTAGCGCCAGTCCTAATGTGTAGCCAAACGGAAGCTCTACTTAACGGATATCCAACTCAAACAGTCTACTTTGTACACTATATCACATGTCCAGGCATATACGACCACCTCGCCTAGGCAGTACCTATCTGACTAAGTAGTCGTGTGTCACAAAACTGTCGCTTTGAAATAAAGTAATTTACAGTCTGTGGTCGACGTCGTTCAAGATAACCTGTCCATACGAATAACAGGTCTGCCTAGTGCATGTGTATAGGTTATAAGGGTGCGACAACCAGTCCACTATTACACTAATAAGTCACTTTGATATAGATATGTTACCATTTTGAAGAGTAAGTATACTTTTACGGCATAGCCCGTGTGTGTTTTTCAAATATTCCTTTGATAAAAAACGATTACTGTAAATGGCACACCTCATGTAAGAAAATTGGCAGGGCCATCAGGCGAGCGTTGGTCCGTTTGTACCGTTGAAATTACCATTCAACAGTGTAAATGAGAGGTAAAGCCGCTGCGGAACCAAAAATAGTCTGGATTATGAGTCGACCTCAAACTAATTCTTTCTTTCTACCACTGCAAAATCCCGGGATAAAGCTCATTACCCTTGAGTTATTTTTCATTAGGAGATATATAATTTAATCGAAGAGCTATTCTCACAGATCTCTCAGTTATTCCAAATTTATGACTCCTAATGGTGCATATGTAGTGAAGGGGTTTCAAAATCCTGTAAAATAAATAATGGTGATTAACCAATGCTTTTGAGCTTCCTAAAATAGAACCATAGCAAGAACCCAACTCACTGATTTGACGAACACTCGGGATTCGGTCTTATTTGCCAACACAAAGTCGTCATACAACTCCTGACCAGTTACAACCATGGCTTCAAGGTGACCGCATCGGAGTTTGACTCGGTGTCCATTCAGTTCGAAAACGATTACGGAAGTATGTACTTCCTGTGGGTCTACGAGTTGGTCTTTCGGAGTGGCGTTCAGTTGTCGGCGCTTCTGACGTTGCTCAACCAGCCACTTGGGTTCTTGGCCATTTTTTCGCTGTAAATCGTTTTGTCGCCGAATCGCTATCATTGGGTCACGGTATCGGTACGTGCTTAGAGGCACTGCGCAAAATGTCACCTTATCTTCTCCGACTGGAACGAACTTTACATAGGCGTAACGTTCGGTACACTGCGCTCCTCGAGATACACTACTGCAGATTGGCTTGATTTCCAATTCGTCAAGTGCAAAACGAATTCGCATCAAGTCTTGTCGAAATCGGACCATAAGTACAGCTCGATTTGGATCGGGGATATACGTACCCCGTTTACTGTCTGTCTGACTGTCTACAGATGGTGAGGGCCCTGAAAGCAGCGGTTGAGTGTAGTCCAGTTTGACATTGAAGTCCGTCAGATAAAATGTCATACCATCCTTTGTTATATATATGTGATTTTGAGCAGCTTTTTCATTCTTCCTTTTTTTCAACAGCCCTTTGTCATTCTTCTCCTGATTCAGGTCCCCACTTTCTATGTCACCGATTTGTTGACAAGGTGCGATGCGGTAGCGTTTCATTCGCGTCACATATTTTTGACAACTTTCGTCGCGTACCTCCACAAAGTAGTCTGTTGAGCACGCTTGAATGGCTTTGTTCATGGTGCTGTCCGGAGACTTCCTTCTTCGTACATGGAGGAAGTAGAATTCTGGCTCCTTTGCGCGAAAAGTGACCTGATACCTTTTGCCCTTACCGGATATCAGGTTCACCGTGCTCATTGGTGGAACATCCGGATCAGCCGCTGGAGATTCCCTTGAATGCGGCTCTTCTGGTTCAATGTTTCGTAAGAACATTGTTGGCTGAACGCCTTCGGAATCTTTCAATACATTTGCATTAAACATTTCATCTGCGTTTTTGTTGGTCTGTTTCGTTCGATACAGTCTAACATGCTCCCCCGGTCTGTACTCATGTATTCTCGGCAATCTGGTTGCTAGCATTTTCAGTTTTCCAACCGTACAAGAAGTGCTGGTGTGATTCACTGGTTCAAATCATGAGCACCGTATACACTATCGATCGATAGTCAGGTGATTGGACAAGCCTATCAAAGCGACCTTGATGCGCGCTCTCACTTTGGTCTAGAATAGCAATCAATTTCCCGAATAGCAACGTGATATGTCACAAATGTCTTTCATGAAGCTCCTGTTTTTTGGTCAACTTTTTTGCTTTGAATATTTCCGTATCTTCCAGCTCACAGGGCTCTTTGTTCTGCTTAGCCGTTAATAACGGTTTTAGGAAAGTTCAACTTTTGAGGGAAAAGATCGTCATTTAATTAGAGTTAACGATTTGTACTCGGTGCAACAGGAACGAAACTATTCGAATTAACCGTGTACATAGAGGGATTTAATACTGATGACTTCACTTTTTCAAAGATGGGTTTAAAGAAGACACATCGTTTGAGGTGTCAGTCTCTGGCGCTTGTGTACTGTAAGTTGGTAGAAAACTGCACTAGCAAAACACGGTCCTCGCCGCAGAAGCAGAGATGATGAAACCGTCAGATACCATTCGTAAGTCATTTTCAGCGCCTGTCTTGTAGAAAGCAAAGGAACGATGCAAGCTGTTTTGTGGCAGCAAACTAATGGAAACGGTAGGCTCTGGTGCTGGTTTCCCTAAAGCAACTATTATTTCTCGTCCGGAATGCATTTTCGGTCTCCGTAGTGGGTGATCTCTCTGTCTTCCTTATCTGATTATCATGTTCGATCTGCTGGTCCTGTGGACAAGGGGAAAACATGCGATCAACATGCCATAAACGCATGAGTGGGAACAGTTGGAGTCAGAAAGAAGTACTTCAATTTGTCTGTTGACGTTACCTACAATATACATGGGAACTGGGCCATTTGAACTGCGGGCATTGGACTCTGCAGGTCACTGCAGAACAAAATTCAAACGGATCATCAGAAAGGAGGACTTGTCGTGTTGTAAGTTGGTGAATTCCTTCATTTTCTCCACCTGATAGTGCCACCGCGTTTGAGCGGCTCCTGTTGGCCCACGCATCAGGTAGGTTGAGTACAGTGGAGCAATCAACTAACTGTGATGGCTTACTGTCTTTCGTAAAGTGCTCCTCAATTGGCTGCTTGAAGGAGGTACACTTGGCTATCCATACTTGCTCATTTCGGATATATACTCAATATACTCAGCGATGATATTGTGACTCAGGAGGCCTTTGGCTGATGGCTGTGCCGTGAAGCAGTACCTAGTCATCCAAAACGGAATATTAACAGGGAGTATCACCCATAGTGGCAAACCGCCTGCCTATCTTTGATGAGGTAACCTTTGTTGCATCCATCTAATGGTCAGCCCCTCGGAAAACAATCATCGTCACTACCTCCAAAGGCAGCACTAACCAGTGAACTACTTCTGGGAACGAATGGAACATCGTCAAAAACTCTTTGACCGCTCTGAAGTACCTTGTAAGTGGGAATTTTCGGACGAGTTGATGTATCGGGTATAGTCTGGCTCCCATCAACGTGGTTCGTTAGATAAAGTGTTAATTTTTACGTACCACGTGATGCAGTTTGTCCCCAATTTTCTTGTCAACCGTTGTTGAATCCAAATTGACCTTATGATAATTCCCCCATTCATTTGCTTACTCCGCCCATGTACTTTTGATCTCCAGTTGTTATGCTTATTCGTACCCGCCATTCACNCATGTGTGAATGTGTGTGAATGTGCGCTGCTGACCTACTTACCCATGTGCGTTCGTGTCCCGTTTGCTGAGCCTACCTTGACTTGTTTTCTCATGGGTTCCGCGTGACCTCACGTCCAATGAGACTCACGAGACCGTCGTCGGGACGAACGACCGCAACCTACGCTGCTGAGCCATCATTCCGTCCGCCGTGGTTTGGTGTGCGGACGTTGACGCTGCAGTGTGCCAGTCAGTGACAGACCTGTGAACTTGTTGACCTTACGAACGTGAACAATTGAGGTACCAACATCTTCCTCTATAGAGGTTTGTTGTACACCTTTGCTTACCCTTATGTAAATAGTACTGTAGAATTACGAACCCAATTCTCCTTTTTGATCAACGGGATTGTCGAACCTACGCGTCACTCAAAGTTCCGTATCGGGAACCTCAACAACCGTTCCTATTGTCACAATGCATTGATTTAGCGACTATTAATTCTTCATCGGCGGGATTTGGATCAGGGTAGAGCGAAACAGCCAGGGAAGTGCCACTTAGGGGAAGCATGGATCGCGAAATGACTTCTTTTTAGCTGAAAACATGGGGATACCGGTAACATAATCTGCAAGTCTATCCGCCCAACCGGTAGGGTGTATTGCAAATTGTTATCCTGAATCATTCGTTCGTTCGTGCGGGGTCCTTAATGCTTGCACACTAAACTCGTATCTTTTCTCTCTTCCTTCACTGCATTCTCTTCAAGGTCATCTTAGACCGTTTACTAGTTCAGTTAATTTGACGGATGCCCGTAACTTGTTTGCCATGCATACCTGGGTCTTATATGTAGTACATATATTTATGCTGCATTCTGAGTTAATCATTCGGGTTTTAATTCCGCCATGTATTTGTCTAATAACCAGATACTATTTCCCTTTTATCATCACCTTGTTTGTGTGTTAGTAAATCCACCCTCTTAAAATTACGTACCTACGGTGCATTCTTGACCAGGACGGTACTGTCTCTGGAACTGGCGTGATAGAAAGCTGAAGTCTCCGGTGCTTTGTGCAACTAGAGACTGTATTACAAGCCACTAGGTTGTGATGTTGTCTAGAAATATGATTGAGGTCAGAAAATATCGAGGGCAAGGTAGATTATTCCGGAAAACGCCAGTCAACGCTACCCAGTGTGTTGGCGTCTGCTTTGTTCACAGTACCACCCCATGTTTCCATTTTTCCACTTTTCTCCAATCCACTTTGTCTTCATGGTCACAAGGCAGTTACGTGTCATCATCCACTGCTTTTTTATTCCTGTCAATAGTGATGGAAAGTATTCAAAAAAGGGTTTTGTACATTACGCACTGACTTTCTAAATTTAATAGATGATAATATACAGACAGGTGGAAAAATCGGTAGTGTCATTTTGGAAGTCTGGTGGAATGTGACGGATCTAGTCCAAGCTCTCGAACTGAACAGAGTAGCTAGGTGCTACACATTTATTTTGAAGGCTTTTGAACTAGTCACATGAGTGTATTCGGTAGTATCTGTGAAAAAGCGAACGGGGGGCCGGGTTGGTTGTTCCAGCAACAAACTTTGGGACAGTGATGATTGATGGTTACTACGCGTCGCTACAAGGCGGTCACTTTTGGCGGTCGAGTAGCTCCAGAACTAGCATTGTTTTTGTTACTGCTGCTTATTTGTTGACCTATTCCGACTACCCCATTTGGGACTGTCTGTTCGGATTCTTGACGTTTGTAAGGCAAAATGAGCGCTTCGTCCAACGATCGTCTCCGACCACGGTTACAGCTTTCGCACAGAACGTGACGAAGATGGGTGCACACTTCGGTACAGCTACGTCGCTGCAAATCAAGGGAATGAATGAATGATCCGATAAGATTGTGAAATGCAAACAAAGGTTAATGATACCTGTCCCCCTATCCGGAGGGTCTATCTAACATGAAGCAAATAAATCTCTTAGTTTTCATAAAGGAAACTACTTACAAGGTTGCTGAAAACTCTTCGACAGCCCACGATCGGTTTCGCCATTCTTGAGGCTCAGCAGGTAGGCGCAGTCCCCGAGTTTCCGTCAACCTTATGCTCTACTTGAACCCAATTGGACTTTTTTCGAGAAATACACTCAGTTGCAAATCAATTTGGTTTGTAGAATATCATAAACGAGAGATTCAGTTGTGTCTCTCGTCAAAATCAAATTGATTTGCAAATGAGTGTATTTCTCGAAGACCTCTTAGTTGTTTAACTTCATCATTGGGCATGGTAATTGGAAAAACCAACGGCATTTTCTGGTTTGCTGCAGTGAGATAGATGTCAGTGGCGTCGCTTACTATTATTTCAATAGTAGGTGTTAAGTTTAGATTTTCCTACTGTGACATCAGACCATCCATTTCAGGTATGAGGTTTGGTTTATAGCGAGGAATTTGTTCTACTTCACTGTTAGGCTTCTGTAGTGGTTGTCTCGTAAGCTTTATTTATTCATGAGCACAGTATGGAGGCATTTACTCACAGTTGAATGAGTTGAGGCCAAGATTATAGGTTTTACTGACGAATCTCCGCCCACGGACGGACATATTGGATGCTCTCCTGATAGTGCTGTTCAGAAAACACCAGATTTGAAAATTCTGGCCCTGGGGTCGATGCACGAAAATGGAAACCAAGAAGCAATTTCAAACTGCAGATACATCGGTCAAAATCAGTGGGAGGAAATTGTGATCCGTTTTAAAACATGCTTCTTAATGACAGCTTAAAACGATGAATTTGTGCACAAGTGTCTGTGTCTCTATAACCTATACTTTCTCGACAAAATAACGAGTCTGAATAAAGGAGAAGGGGTCGAGTTGTGCTTCCTGGATTTTCGGAGAACAGTCACCGACAGGACCCTGTTCACCCAACTGAGATTTTATAAGTAGGAGTCTGGTGAACACGATTTCTAAGGAGATGATGATGCCTCACTACATTGGAGGACTCAAGTTCCAGGCCAGATATGGCTGAGTACAACAGGAATCGGTGTTTTCCCCCTACTGGGGAGAGATCTCAAGTGGATAGAGCTCGAATTTATTGACCCAACCTCTGCATCTCGACTTCTCCTGTCTTGGCTTGGGCAACCTAGCAGTATCTCAGCCCTCGTGCCACATTCTGGTTGCTGGCAGTTAGGCACAGAAGGTGTGCTACAGCTGAATGATTTATTTCACATACTTGGGTCGCCATCATTAGATTAATGAGTCTCAGGCGAACTATGAGCCTAAATGCAAGAGCTAAATATGTTACCCCATGGAAACACAGATAGAAGCGATTGATTCAGATGAGTCTCTAGTCAACACCAACCTGAGTTGCAAATGAATGTTTATCGCAATAATTCGCCTTTTAGTTAGAGCTTGGGGACTGGGCTCGTCTGATGAACTCCAAGAAAGGAGAAACCGGTACATAGCCTTTCAGAGTTTTCATTTACCTTATTAATAGTGTCGAAACATAGACAACAAATATCAATCTCGTCAATGGATGTGACCATAGGCATAACTCACATTGGGACTGTGTCGTAACTTTTGAAGCCAATTTATCATTTCTCCCACCCAAACAATTAATCCCAGCAACAATCCTGCTCCGAGTCCGATAAATGCACTCGACATTTTGGCCATTGTCAGTTGTGTTCGCGAAGGTAGGGCAGATTGTGAAGACTGTAAATAGCAGGGTACTGTGGCGTTGTAACGTTGTAGCCAGTACTGGCGCATCTTTTCCAGTGTTTGATCCTTTTGCAATTTGAGTATGCCCTCAGACAATAAGTCCCGAAGTCCGTTATCTAGAACGCAAAGAAAGAGTGATGCGATGTAGACGTGGGATGTGATTCATATCGAGTCTCTGGGTGTCAGTCGTACAGAAAATTGTTATCATGAAAAATTAAGACAAGAAGAAAGTGCATACTGAATATTTGATTGATATGGCCGTGCTTTTTGGAGATATTATTTACCTAAGGCAAGTAGAGCTGCTTTACCTGATGTTTTCTGTGATAAAGAGGTGGTTATAGTAACGCAACCCCAAAACTGGATGTTTGCCCATGAAAATTTCGTAAACATGAATAAAACTATGTTGCGATTGTATTTGAATGGTCAGATGGCAGTTGGTCTGGTGAACGCAGGTAGTGAGCAAGGACCTCAGTTTCTATAGGGAAGAGAAGTTTTCTCAAAGAGGCCACAAAGGATTACCGCTTTGGCTTGAGTACCAAGCTCACTTTGAACGTTACCCTGGTAAAAAGATCACATTTGCTTCAAATTATCTTCTGATTTCACAATCCAAATAAACGCAATTCTGGACTTCTCGATATCCTTTAGCAAGTAATTTTACTGCTCTCACTGGGTTGTTCTTGGTGCTAAAATGTGATTCGATCAAGCTAACCTCAATGCAGACGATTGTCGTCACGGAATTATGACGAACACAAAAATTTTTACAGGCTTTCCAGGGCACCTGAAATCCTAACCATCTTCAGTGCTTGATTATAACTTGAGTTGTTTTTCAAGAACCATCGTCTATCAAACAGCCTCGTTACATTTCTCCATGATTTGTAGGTGAATTTTTTGTTGCGATGGGCAACTTATTCCGATGCTCCATTTCCGTTTTTTTGTATTTGAGGCTTATCAACTGGTTATGGTGTACGGTTGCATTCATCGTTTGTTTTCTATGCACTGAAAACCCAACACCAGATGAAAGTGACTTGTTCCTACCTGTTGTTAGCTGAGCAAATGCCATACGAAGGTGTTTTAATTTGTCATCAGTTGGAATTGGGGGAGGATGTTTCAACTCGAATGTAATGAGTGGCAGCTAGTTGCTTTATACTTTTCCGAGGGTCCTCAGTACCGAGTCGATTGGACTTCAGTCTCCATATCAATGTTTTCTTACCATTCGCACTCAAACTGTTTAGCCGGTCTTCCTTTTTACTGGGTGGTTTCAAAATAATTCCATGAGACTTTCGCTAACAACCATAGCGTTTCTTCCTTGGCCTACTGCAAGTAAACTTATCATATCTTGCATAACAACAGTATCCACCCACATCCATTTTTATTAGTATGGAAGCTAAAAACCTGATAGGATGTATTCTGTGAGGTTTACATTGACTTCCAGGTAACCCCTCTGGGTCTAAACGTTCTAGTAGGTCAGGATAACCACTCAACGGAAACCATGAATCCATAAATTGTGAACAACCATCAGTACAACCCAGTTGTTTTTGGAGCATCAGTCAAAATCTTGATTTATAACAGAAAATTTGACATTTCTAACACTTTTTACTTCGTCAAGGGCAACTTCGGGGTCAGAACTCTTGCTCAAGCTAGGTGGTGCCCAGGCAGCGAACCGAATAAAGCATTGCATTAGGTACATGTGGTATACCTTTGGTCAGCGTTTCGGTTACCAAGACAAATTCACAGTCGCCTTTCGAGGGACATAATATCCTGTTGTTAAATGGAATCTGATACCTGCGGAGGTACGGATTTTGTATAGATAAATGAAGGTTGGGAGATACTCTAGTCTGTTCGGTCCGATGGCTCGTTCAATAAAGCCAGATCTGAGGTGGAGATCTTTTGACCCTGAAAATGTCCTTCGTATTCTCCTATATACCAACAGTGCTTTGACGACAGAGGAGATTGTAGAAGACCGACTTCGTAAGCAACCGCTCGTAAGGAGGAAGCACATTTGACCGATACCCTAGAGCTTTTATGGGATTTGATGCTCCTGGGAAGATGACCCGTCATTTGGAACCATGAATCACATTATGAAGTACATTTTACCCGGAATCCTTCGCAGAAGGGACCATCAGCTCCGATTCGCCGACCAGCTACAGAGTGCCCTTTTCCGTTCAGGCTCCAGCAGGTGTAGGCAACGCAGACCCGAAAGATTGTTCAATATGCGTCATGCTTTCATTTGCACTCAAATATATGAACGAAACCGCGACAGGATCAATCAAAGCTACATTCGTTTTTGTCTTCTGCCGTCCGCTATCGTATGGATTTACTACGAATTTTGTGGCTGTCAACGTTCAACAGACCAACGCCTGCCTCAGTTGGGCTAACATGAATCATTGACGCATTGTGTGAAGGCGGCTCGGGTTGATGAAAAAAACACAGTTATCATGATCGACTGTCCTAGTTTCCGCATCACTGATTTTCGATTGAAGTTTATCAATTATTCATATCGACTGCCGTTGAAAAATACAGATTTACACGTTTTCATCATAGTCCATTCCTTGGAATTATGGAAATTTATTCCTCTTGATGAGGCATACACCAACAGACTAGATCAGTATTTACACAAGTGGGGATTTATGAAGATATTATCTGGGCAGACATACAACAGTAAACTGTACACAACCTTTAGTATTTTTATCAACATAAAAATGGTGAAGTTGAACTCCATGTATAACTGGTCTGGTGAATACACAATCTATGAGTTGAAGATAGTCCAGAAAACCTAGAAACAAAGCCAGTTTCCACTTCTAAACTCAATTTTGGGTCAGTTGAAACGCGATGTCCTTCTGGGCACACACCATTGCTCAACGTTGCCACAGTGTCTTTGAGGTGAGAAGCAGCTACTTACTAGTTGTAAGTAGGCCGACGAGTAGCAGTTTTTTCAACCTTCGCGGCTGAAGAAGTTCAATTGGATAAGAGTAGTTTAATCTAGCGAGTAAATTCAACTCCGGAATCCTGTAAACGCCACTCTGAGGTAGACTAAAATGCCGCTTGAAACTAAGAGGGCACCGATTTACATGGTCTTGACAACTGTTAAAATATCGAACACTGAACGTGAATCGGCTAATGTCAGTGCATGGAGCAAGCGTCAAGGCTCCATCAATTTAGATTGGTCATAGATAAGCATATCATCTCCAAGCCTACTAGAGAAAAAATTAGAGTTTGGGCGTTGTGTGTTTTTGCTTAGCGGTAAACAAGCTTGATTTCGCACTTCGAGTGGAGCAGTGGAACTTGTGGGATTTCTTACCACCACAAGTGACCAGTTTCAGACTGAAGAATTGTAAAAGAATGTGTGAAGAAAGTGTGAAAGTGTGACCGAATGATCGCCGTCATCTACAGCAAGGCCCATTTATCACATTGACTGCTTCTGGTGGATGTGAGCTCCATATATTTCTGGACTGGGAACCATGTTGTTTTACAAGTGTTGAGGAAGCGATTTCGGTTTAGAGGTGGGTTCAAGAGCATATATTTTAGGCAGGATCATATTCAGTCGAAAGGTTGCGAAAGCTAAGGCAGTAGTAAGAAACACAATATTACGGGCAGAATAAACACAAAAAAAAGGAAATCGAGATAAATACAGTGTGTATGTGTAGTTCTCTTGAGCACCGAATGCATCTCGGCGGGCGGTGAGTTGGGTCACAACCAGTTTAATATATGAGCAATGCGCTTTTATCGAAAAGATTCGAGTCGCGCTATCGGATGGCGATAGCCCCAACCACTGTGACTGTGCGGTACTCAACGTAATTAACAGGCGCCCTAATAACGATACGGATACTTTTGCAGAACATCACACGGTGCATCGTGTCTGATAGATACTAAGCAGACAAACCGGTCATTATTCTACTATTTCCAGTCTGACAACGGTCACTAGTTCGACGTTTGTCTCTTAATGAAATTACCAGAGGGCTAGCAATTTCTTGCAACGACGGCTAAGGGTGTTTGTTATAGTGTGTCTTAAGAGCAGATGTTTGCGGTTTTGTGGATCAGGTTGCGTTTTTGTTGGAGTGTAGAGTTTTGACATGGTTCAAGGTCCACAACTAAGAAGTGGAACAAGTTGTCGGCTTCTCCTTCTGAGATGAAACTGATAGAAGTGTGGATTCTGTTGAACCCTTGTGGAAGCAAGTCCATTTTGTTATTAAGGTTTAAAACTGACAAACATGTTAGCTATGCGTCGACAAAAGTATTGTGTTTTCTAGGATTAGTTTTAAGGAACCGCTATCAATTTTGCCGACGAAAATATTACCTAACATCTACCCCAGTTGTGACATCATCGATAAAATGTTCCACTGATTAGTTATTGCAAATCCAGTGTGCATCACTAGAGGGGATCTGATTGGTTGATTGGCAACTGAAACTTGCTTAGTTCAGTGAAATCAAGCGGATAATTAACAGGCAAGCAGTGAAAGCATATCGGATAAAAAATTACTAGAAGTTTCAGTTCAAGTTTCATTATTGAATCCGCTATGAAGTGTTGTTTGGTGTACTGGCTTCAGGATTTCGACCAGTCATTGCGAGATTTTATCATTAAAATGGTTGAAGATGTATAGAATCGGCTCCAGCAAACAGCTGGGTCATCTGATTAAGGAAGAAATATAGAGGTGAGATACTGTTGATCCTGTATGTTTAATCTTTCCAAAAATTCACCAAGGAACCTCCCCAGTCCCGTAAAGTATGCTGTTCTACCAGAGGTGTTTTCCCTTTTCCCTTCGTTGTCTGACTGAACGCGGTCAAATTAACCACACTGCCCGTCATCCCTCGTACATAATCAGTTTTATACGCGACAATTTCCGCCTTCTTGTAGGTTGGTCACAACATCCTCTCGAGCACACAGCTTTCCTTAACTGTTTTTTAAACATATTCTGGTGGCCGGCTTCAGAACAGGTGGTCCACACGTAGCTGCATCATCAACCAAATTTCCTGGGTTGGCTATATTTGATGGAGAATTTTATAGAGGGTGGCCATAAAGATTTTCAAATTGTCTTTGTTACAAGGTGTAAAAACTTGGGCTGCGACAAAAGGACTTAAAATAGGGTGAAATTAGAGGACACAGTGGACCAATTATACACAAATGTTTCGGGACTTAGTGGCAAACGATATTGTGTTGTGTTGACAGTTTGCCTGTCAGCTGTGTGTTGTTCGGCGAGTTTACGTGACTACTTAAGTTCGTCGTCCACTAGTTCATCCACATGAGTCTGTTCTCGCTGTTTCTTGGGTTTGATATATGGCCATCCACTTGATTACGATAATTACAGACATGTATGATTGAAGCAATACCCATGAAGAACACCTCAAAGTACTTATTTTATAAATATTTTGTTGAGGCGGTATTTGGTCTTACCAGTGTCAATCATTCCCAATCACTCTTAATTCTACGCAGTCTCAGCTACGTGTCACCTCTGAGTGTGGCTCCAGGGGGGTGTACACTTTTTGGATACGTTTGTTTTTAAGAGTGCCGGTAGTTTATGACTTTGGGCTTATAGAGGTTCTGGTCTACGGGATCTGCTGCTCAGACGGAAAGAGGAATGCTTTGGAAACTCCCATGCCAAATGACTACTTAATTGCTCTACCTAAATTCATGGAAAATTATAAATCCCACAGTTCAGTTGGCACTTGTTCTCTTGACTGAAATACGCTCGTTTGAGGAACGAAATTAAGCGGAACATTTCTTCAGCCTTTCAACATGTCTACGCAATAGCCCAGTTGGTTTTCATACTGATCACCAGCCTTCCCTGAAAACCTGAAACTAGATTATCGGCTCTCTGTGCTTTCCATGGCGGAAATTGAACCGTCGCTTACATTGACAAACCAGACAGAACGTTTAGCTGCACATATCCTGAAGATATAATGTGGGTTCAACAGCTATCAGGGCAGAGGTCAAATCATAAATAGGTATTTTCTTTGTCAGCAACGTTTTGATAACAAGCGATCAAGTGGACCCCGTGAACTCTTTCAGAATTCTGCGACACAACACCAACTCCATGATTACAGCCATCAATCCAATCACACTGGCCTCTGTGCACAACATAGTATAGTATAGTATAGTATAGTATAGTATAGTATAGTATAGTATAGTATAGTATAGTATAGTATAGTATAGTATAGTATAGTATAGTATAGTATAGTATAGTATAGTATAGTATAGTATAGTATAGTATAGTATAGTATAGTATAGTATAGTATAGTATAGTATAGTATAGTATAGTATAGTATAGTATAGTATAGTATAGTATAGTATAGTATAGTATAGTATAGTATAGTATAGTATAGTATAGTATAGTATAGTATAGTAAACCACGTGATTACCATGTCACCGATTAGTTTAGCTACAGGACACCACCAGTAATTGTCCAGGGTGTATTTTATTCAATTCCAATGTTTCACTTCTGCAATGAAGATCACGAAAAGTACGTTGACATGTTGCACCATGTCTCCCAGGTGTTCCAATGAGTTGCATTCAAAGTTTTCTTTTTTCCCACTCCATGTTATTTGGAATATTTGGAGTTGTATCCTTTCCAATCCAGATTGCTATACGTGGTGAAGGTGTCGCAAATCAACTTATGGCTTTAATTTTTCGTACAAACCCCACACTTTAAATCAGCGACTAGAGGTTTGAAAGTCAGTTTGACTAAACTTTGAGACATCTGCTCTTACATGCACTGAAGCAAGTAAATATTACGATGATTTCCCGAAATGTGGTTGGCTACAACTTTTTAAAACCAAAGCTATCAGTATGCATGGTAAAAAGGCTAAAATATATCTATAACCAACACTTACTTCCAATCGGCAAACCGATTCCGTAACCTCGCGGGTCTAACAGACCACCGAGAGGTGTCAGCTGACAATTCCTTTGAGAATAATACTCGTTCAGCGTGGATTCCAAAATGAAGGCGTAGTCACCATTCAAGGCACGGACAATGCCATCCTCGGTTTTATTGACAAACAATGACTTGTTTGCGTTCATAAACTCCCACATTCGTTGATATGTTGGGATATCTGAATGCTGTCGGAAGGGGGGATAAAAAGGGACTTAGCTTTTGCAATCGAAAAATAACCTAGTTGATATTTATTTTCTGTTTGCCAACACAATTATAGATGATGGAAGACCCTAGAAAGATCTGCTTACCAACACAAAGTGGCATGCTTTTTGTACGCCTGATTGAGCCTAGCTGGCACGAAATAGGCAAAACATGAAAATAATACTCATGGCACTTCTGAAACACGTTTTTATCACATAGGATAAGAATTATAAGAGGTTCTCATCTTTCCAGGAAGACAGGTTAAACAATCGGTAGTTTTTAACTGGACGACGTTTCGCTATTCACACAAAATCCTCATCAGGCCAAGTGAACAACAGAGGCTTCTCGTGGTATCATTAAAAATAATTGCCTTAAGTGGGGGCTTGTACCAAACTGTCACATAACAATGGGAGCCAAACGTCCTGGTGGAAAGGTGGACGGATGGAGATCTAATTAAAACTTCTTGTCCGCAGGAAGAACTATCAAGAGCTAGATGTCTATACCATTGAAAAACCTCGAAAGAAACACATCGTATCAAGCTAAGGAGCCATCCACGGGACCCAATCACCAACCTAACAAAGAGTGAAGAAAAATATTCCGTCCGGCCAGGAAGCGACAATTGGGATAAGTTGTGTACTATATCCCATAGGATTTCATGTGGGTCTCAGACAGAACGGTGCGAAGACCCTACGGCACACAGTTTGTCTGCAGCTTCCCTCACTGCGTCTATTCCATTAGAAAATTTCATCACTAACTGCTTGAAAGTAAAAAAAAACAATACCCCTTTTTGCACATGCTGGTTGATTATGTGTGGTAGTCTTTAACCACTTATTTGGACAATAATTTTCTTCCCTAGCGCTCGCTATCCTTTACTGAATCACTGATAACGCACAGTCAGTTTGTCGCATCGCAGCAGCTATCTGATTCCAGGTATGCTGCGAAGGGTCTAGTAAGTATCTTTTTAATCAACCTGAAAAAGTTTGTAGTCGATTGCGAAGTCATCCTGGACAGTCGGTAGTTCTTGACTGGACAACATTTTGATTTTGCGGCAAAGGCTTCATAAGGCCAGCATCATCGCCAAACTGACCAGGTTTTAGGCCAAACGGGGAACCAATCAGCAAGACCTCTTCAAATTAACACTCTGGATCAGTGCCGAATGTCAGTTGAAGAGTCTTGTCCGGTAATTTGGTCGCCTAGACCCTATAGTTGATGGGTTGGGGGAATTTCAAATTATCTTTATTGGATTTGGTCCTTTAATCTTCCACCACAAGGTGCTTCAGTTGATGATTCATCTTGGTTGCCACTGGCAGATTCCGTTGGTCTGTGTGAGCCTGTGAGTGCTACAGCAATTTGGATGTGGGGGAAGGAGAGGCGGGTACACTTCAGATATAAACTGCTTCTGTTAATGACTCTTTTCAGACGACCACACATCACGTGTCGTCTCGATTGATCTAAAACCCTCCTCCACAGGCTTATCGATTCTACCTCTGTACTCTATTTACACTGGTTTGGCGATTTACACCAATCGGCCATCAGACTGTGGCGGGGACCGTAGCTCCTGCCTCAAAGATTCGACATTTTCTACATCTATTTTTTGTCCCATGCCCAGTTCATGTTCCGACATTACTGAGTCTTTCAGTAACGCTCGATATCCATGTGCAATTATCGACAGCCTGTGTCCTCCGATCCTCGAGTATGCTTCCCCGGCCGTCTGTCCTAAGTAGGCCGTAGTGCAGTCGCTTTACTTAATTTTGTAGACACGGTCCTTGGTTCTCTTTGCAGGCGGGCTCTGTACCAATTCAGAGCACAGAGTGTTTCCCTTCGAAAAAGCTAATCTTATGTTAGCCTTATTCTGAATTCTTTGAATGACTTCCGATATCCCTGGTTTGTACGGAATCACAGCAGTTCCAATCTATTCCCTGTTTGGTTTCGCCACCAGTACGAACGTCCCTCGTAACTGACGCCTAATCAAACTAGCTTGATATTCACTGCCCTGAAGTTTATTCTTTACTTCAGTTTGGGACTGCTGTCTGATCAACCTCTTCTGTGCACAGGGCCCTTAGTCGACTAAAGATTGATGAGGCAATACCAGCGAATACCAACTTCGAATGAACAGACGAGTAGTTTCTACCCGACCTTATGCGTCACGCAGTCTTCGAAGGGCAGTGTACGAGAAGTAGACTCTATCTCCGTACTGAAACTGATGTGTGAATTAAGGTCATTCAGGTAGTAGTGAAGTTCACTAACGTTTCGTTTCCTCACGAAGAAAGCGTCATCTACATAACGTCAAAATATCTTAGGTGGCTATGGGAATCCAGCTAAAGCTTTCTGTTCAAAATCATCCATAGATTTATTTGCGGAAACGGAGAATATTGGAGATCCCACTGATAGGCCTTGTTCTTAAGTGTAAACTACGGGGTGCAAAAACGAAGTGAGTGAGATTCAGACATGGCCTTATAACTTATACTATTTCGGATACCGTAAGCTAGGTCCATTCTGAAAGGCTGATGCTGCTGGTAGCAATCGGTTAGTTATTTCTAGAGTCCCCTTTTGGCACGTTTGTATAAAAAGAACTGACATAGAAACTTTCAAGAATGTCATCTGGTTCCACGATGATGTCCGCTACCTTGTTGGAAAAGGCATATGAATTTCTATGTTTTCCTGGTTGGGGTTTTTATAGTACCTGCCAAGATTCTGGTTAGCTCATGGGGTGGAAGCCCATTCCGTCTACTTTCGGTCTCGCCGGAACATCTGGTTTAGGTATTCTTGTTAGGCCATAAAGCCGTGGTTGGATTGTACTTTTGGGGGTGAAATCGCTACCAATTACCTTGCCCTAAGTGGTTTATCACGGACCACAAATACCTACCAACTTCAACCCTACTCTCATTCATTATATACTTAATGTTCCCACTATCGATCCGCTAGAAAAAGCATTCAGCTAGGTGTCGCTTAACCTTCTTTGGACAATCACTCTTATTCAATTCCCTATTCGCCTTTCTAATCACTGTTATTCGCCTGTTTTCAGGGTGGTAAAGGCTTTCAGCTCTGCTGGTGAGATGATTGGGGCTTCTGGCTCCTGGGACTTAAAGACTGTAAGTGTTTGTAGCCCTAGTTTCTCTGCCTTCGTTGGAGAAAGGTTTTCAAGCACAGCTTTAACGCTATGAATTACTTATTCGTCTTTTTGCTTCCTGACAGTCAACGCCTCTCTATTTGATAAATTTACTAGACTGCAATAGCTAGTAGGCAGCTCACGTTTCATTGGTTGTTTGTACTTGTGATCGCAAGTAATATTGTTCGGAAACTCTGCTCATTGTATCAATTCCTTCTCGCCAAAGTAAAATATATTCAGAACGTTGGGGTAATCCATTGGGTTTCGTGAACGGAAGGCTAAACTGCATAAGCTATATTGTGAACCAACTTACTAACATTTCTACCTTGAGAATGCCTTTATTCATAAGGTTAACTGTCATATAAAACACGGTTACTACGCCCCGCCAGGTTAAACCAGAAGTGTGCTTAGGTTTAAGGGCCTATCGAAGCGAAATTTAGATTAATCAAGGTTACTGGTTACATGAAAACATGAATAGGTTAGCGGTTCATTGGAGTAGTGCTCCCTTGGGGTAAACTGTTTTTGAAAAGATAACCACAACTTTTTCAAACCCTCATATTTTCTATGGTGTCACTGGATTTTTGGTCCTCTGAATCGTTTGTATCACCAGTGGACAGAATCACGTAAGCAAAGCGATATTGAATCGGCATTACCACTCAAAAATCGTACACAAAAGTGAACATATATGGTTACATATGGTCTGTAGTGAAGTAAATTTATGCTGTAAGTCGATAATCACTCTGCAGCGTTTTATTCTTGTTAAGAATCATCAGTAGTGAGCGTTGCAAGAATTTTTGGAGTGATTCAAACACAAAGTAGATCGGTAAGTTATCGGATAGTGTATGGTTCAAATACAGCTGGTCGGTCAGTAATTAGGAATGAGTGTAACCACCCTTCCGCTACGCAGTTCACATCTGGTATCGACTGGCTACGTCTAAGAAACAAGGCTTCAGAAAATATTTTTCAGTAAGATACCTTCTTTTGTGAGTAGATCAAGTGCTTTACAGTAATTTCGGGCTGTCTAGCCTATTCTAGTTCCGCCCGAATTTTAAAGTCCGTATTTGAAAATTCGAATGCTGGAAAATAACAAATCTTTGGTCTTATGCTTGTTTTCGCTGGCCTAGTACGCTCCCTGAGTGTTCTAGGATATTCCGGGAACGTCAGTCTGGTGTGAAAGTTTTAGGTAAATGGAGACTGTTCGCCGATGACCTGAGGAAGCGGTCATCAGCTTTTGATAAGAAGTTAGTTGTCTTCTTCAGAGTTTTCTTGCGTTCTTTTACGGTATAGTGTGTCTTCGAAAACAAGTTAATATTACAGTTGTGTGTGTGCATGTAATTTTGGCTCAGACTACGGGTGTCAAAGCTCTCAAGACATAAGAAAATAGTCGCGATTTACGTGTGTGAATTAAGAATAGGGAACTGTGATCATCGCTTACGCGGCTGCTCATATTGTCACAGCAAGCCTACAAAAAATCAGGTCTCACCGTTATAATTTTGATGATGCTGTCACGAGTAAAATGAATTAGATTAAAATTCCGGCGGAAGATTTCTCTTGGGGGACGTGTTGAATAATTTTGGATGGGGTTAATTTATGCAGAAAAAGGCTAGACCAGAAATGTCAGCTATTAAGTATATGTTGTAATGACCTTGGGCTGTCTCATCGCCGGTGATGAAGGCGTTCGCTTGTTTGCTCAGTTCTTCAGACAATATTCTGGAGGGAATAACGGTTGAGCAAAAATAGTCTCCCTGTAAGCCAAAGAATTTGATGGATTATAGAATATGATGGGGGACAAATTATTGTACTTTAAAACAACTTTGTGTCAGTCGACAGCGACGGGCAACCTCATTCGACACCTAATCCACGTCCACAATTCTTGAGACTGAGAGTGAGGAGAGTTACCTTTGATCTCATTATTTTAAGTTCACCAAAGAGCTTTTATATCACACTTCAATTGATTTCCTGAATGAACATCATGGAACAATCCAATTTATGACACGCACTCCTCTAGAGAAACTGTCTTCGACTGACCTATTAGGGTTCGTCACGTAAAATTTCCACCGTGTTAATTGCACACTGTGGATTCAAATCGACTCCTCTGCAATTCCGTATTTGGTCAGTCTTTGGTTTGCTTATGTGTTTCTTGTAAGGGTAGAGGTATGTTTCGTTGGTTCGGAATCATCTCATATTGGGTTTTTTCCTCGTGACTGCTCGCATACAGTGTATCCTAAACTATTCGTCTTCAAAAACTCACTGAAACAACCTCAGAGTATGCAGCCAAGCTACAAGTCATCCCTTCAAGCAAACAAACATGTAATTAGTTTCTTACCGTCCGATTAAAGGATTTCCAACTTTTGTTCGCACACACTGTTGTAAGGTAGGCGTTCCGGAAGAGACAGATGTGATCACACAACGTGTGTGGTAACGAAAGGTCATCTCTCGGGTGATATCATAAATTAGTTTACCCAAAAATGGGCGAATCGGGTCGCAGCTGAGAAGACCAGTGAAACTTCTCACGGACAGATCTCTTTGTTTGGAACAAGGAGTAGTTCACCCAACACAGGGTGCAAACGAAACTCACGATTTCGAAATTCATTCAGGAACCTGATTGAAGCTGAGTGGTAGAGAAAGGTGATACCGAACCTTGGTCTTCCTGTCCAAGAAGTGGGTTGGCTTCAAGCACAAGCAAACAAAGTGGGATTCTAATTACTATGGTTAATTGTTTTCTTGCCCAGGGCTGCGGAATGCATTTGTGCAACCCGATGGAGCGGTGGTGTTAACGAACGGCTTAGTCAAGGACTAGTTAGGTCCTGTGTGGACAAATTGCGAACAGAATGACTCTATCGCTATCTCCATTAGATCAGCCGGAGATTGAGATTGATTCAAGTTTGTTCAGATACCTCAGTTATCCGGATGTTCCCCTATGCGGAGACTCGCGTCGAATTGCATATCGTTCGTCGTTGCTCACCACTGCTGGATAGGAGATCCAATGCTGTACGCCTGCCTTTTACTGGACATACTGATGTTTTTGACGGAGGTCGAATACTGCCGTATTTTAGTGAAAATGTAGTGAGCAGAACGCGGTAAATTTAGGTGAAACGTGCCTGTTTAGTAAAGCCTAATCGGTCTTTCGTTCTAAGTTTTTTTCACCAATTTTCTACACTATGACCGACCGTTTGTTATGCTTTTATGGGCTTGACAAGTTGCATCATGGTCGTCCGGTGACTTACTTTGAAAAATGAATAGGTTGATCCTCCGTAGAGAGTCCCGTACTTGATTTTAGTCTGCCTCGTCAGATCTTCCACATTTTCGATCTCCGTCTCCATTCGATCAATCGTTAGAAAGGCAGCCAAGTTGGCCGTGTACGAAGATACCATGATAAGGATGAAAAACCACCAGATGGTTCCGATAATGCGAGTTGACGTGGCTCTCGGAGAGATGTCACATCCTGAAAAAGTGAACAATTTTTCGTTGGAAGTGTTCGAGATAAAAGTCACCAAAGAGTAAAAACCAGCCCGTATTAACAACAAAGCTCAACCGCTCCGAGCGAAATCCCGATTTTTGTATGAGTCTTTTAAAAGTACGAGGTATAAACTGGTCCCTAACTTTTATGGAAGGCCAATTATTTAAAAATGGAGACTGTAATCTGAGATGTGACCACCCAACCTGCACCTGGTGGTGTGGGAAAATTGCCTCCGTCATTACCTACTTACAATTTTGAAGCCTTAACAGTGCGGTGCTCTATTGTATCGCGATAAAATAACTGTTTAAACTCCACCGTTCCTCAGAATACTTCCACAAGAAATGATGTCTTGAATGCATACAGAAGATGGCTCGTCGCACTCATGAAAAACATGCATTGCGTCAATCTGACAAGATATATCGGCCATAAACTGAATCGAAGGACAGCGTACATTCAACATGATTAGGTCCTCAGTAATTTTTCGATTATGCTTTTCACCGAGCGTTTTTTCGTCTGCGCATTTTGCCCTGACTTACCGAGTTGCTCGAGTTTTCGTACCTTTTTCACCCTTTCAGTGATATGAGATGACATCATAATGGATCTGATGAATCCAGAAGACCCTGTTTCCTCGGAAACCAGACAAGTATTTTTTTAGTCATTACAAACCATCGAACCATTGATCGGGGAGGTAGGCATGCGAAACATCTTGATCGTCTGATTTTATTTACATCATTGCATCAAATGTCGGGAGGTATTAGTTGTCAGGAAATTATGATAACGTGGTAGGATGGTCAAGCACCGAATATTTGTCGTATCAGTCTCTACTGTCATCTTACTTGTACCCCGGGTAAAGCAGAATACTTCCTTCAAATGTGTCCTTTTCTGAAAACAGTGTTGAGCTTTGCTGTAGACTTATCCCGCGAAAACCTGCTCAAAGTACTCTCGTACATAAAAATCAATAGCTCGTCTGATCTGCATTGTATATAATTATTTGCCTTGGCAATTGTTGGCGAAGTCGATGTGGAGAACAACGTGGATGTTCTCTGAGCGTACGATGAACTCGGTCTTCCCGTTGCTTGCTAGCCTTGAGCTTTGTCTGCACAAGGAGGCGAGAGTTAACGGCAAGACATAATGTACACATCGGCATTGCATCTTTGGGTTGGTTATTCTGTGACAGAATCATTATGCAAATCAGCGTGGTTAAATTTCAGTGGCCGCCAATGGTCAGTCGGTCAGTTGGTCAGTCGGTAGGTTTCAATGCCTGTTGAAACGGCCGTGGTGTTTTGCAGTGGTAATGGCATGACGTAATTCAGAGAACCCGCCCTCCCGAAGTCCAGTACGGTAGCTCAGTGTACGTCTCGGTTTTCTCAAAGGTACAGTATGTACATTTTCACTGCCTTTCTATACTTAACATACCGATACTTTTCGCCGAAAAAAAAACGTTCAGCCAGTATTAATTAATATCAGAGATCTTGAGGTTTGATTTGAGGATAATTTCAGCGGCATTTATGAACTATATTTTGATTGCCATATTCGTCAGCCAGGAAAATTTAAACCCATACCACACTCGTCGGTTCTCCTTCAACGGGTTGTCCACCAATAAGGGAAAATCATTCGTAAAGAAGGATGTTCTATGACTTTCTCCCAAAGTCTTTCTTCTCAACTACATACAGTTTTTCCAAAGACTGCCAACCATGTACGTCAAACGTGTCAACCGGTTCACTTAAGCGACTGCCTACTCCATTGGGAACGTAGGATCGCCAATGCTGGGGTATGTCTGACAGCTTGCGCTAAAAAGAAGCCTTATACAACAGTTTCAGCTCAAGTGGTATAGCGTACAGGTCCTGGGGATTACAGAATCTTTCCATCCAAACATTACGTAATCTAGAAACGGCTTAGATGTACTCATTCTCATGTCGGTCTCGCCTGAACACCAACAGTTTCAGTTCATGTGGTATAGCGTACAGGTCCTGGGGATTACAGAGTCCTTTCCATCCAACATTACGTAATCTAGAAACGGCTTAAATGTACTCATTCTCATGTCGGTCTCGCCTGAACACTCATTCTCCTGTCCTGAGGCAACTATTCTAGTGATTCCACTCCCAATAGGGGAGGGGACACTGGGCTCAGTGCAGATCCTTGATCATGCACGGGCTTGAACTTCGAGCACGTGCTATGTAAGGCTAGATTATTACCACTACGGATTCAGCACACCTTGAACACACCTAAATTTTCAAGAGTGGCGATCCAGTAACTGTCCCAACTGTGTCGACGTGCTGACCCACCTGTCAGAAATTCCAAGTCAGGTAGCACCACGGGTGCTGCACGGTCTCCGATTAAGTGTAGGTGGTTGGAGAATTTGTAAAATTCATGCTAGCTGTTTGAGTAGTCCTGGTATGTGAGACGTCCGAAGTTCAAACCACGACAGGGCTAATCATGTGCAGTATTAATGAGCTCTAATGAGAGTAAAACTTGGTTCAATCGTCCTCCTTTTGGTGAGGACTCAATGGAATAGTTCGGCGAGGACAGGAGGACAACTGTTTAGTAGAAAGATGTAACTACTTGGTTTCGATGGACTTGTTGGCCAATAGCCTCGTATGTATATTTACTCTTTTGTTCTTCAGCGAACGCAGTTCACGGCTTGAAAATTTGAGTCAGTTGATGTGAAAGTGTTGTAAAGTGCTATTTACTGATAGGCTCGAATTACTGATTCTAAATTACTGAATGCGGTCAAACTGCTAAAACCCAGCATAGTATTATCGTCATTCTACCATACTTTTGCTGATATTGTCATAAGGACATTTGTTCATCTAGGTTTTGCTACACGGGTCTGCTTCTACATATATTGAATCTTACATATAAATGTATTTGTCAATATTATCTCAGTGTGGCTTCGTAGTAAACATACGAGGGAGATAAACACATGTAAATGTGCACTGCAACCGAGATTAGATTGCGTATTATGACGCCCTTCATGTCGCCTTATCCTAGGTGGTACACCTGAGTGTGAATCGAACGTCAGCTTAACTCACCAAGATATGATTGTTCGTAAACTTACAGACTGTTCCATGAAAGGCTCTTTCTACCTCAGACCAGCATTCCTATTTTACACTCAAAAAGTCATAATTGTTGACTAGTAGGAATCATATTCTACAGAGGGAAACAACTATACAACACAGATCAACTAGAGTGAGTTGGGGGAGGGATATGAGTTGTAACGACCAGTTACCCAGAGCGCCTAGCTGAGGGTGGAGTCAGAACACAGGCAAACGCGGTTATTTTCTAAACAAGACAATGTAATCATAGGAACCACGCAAATGCCACATATGAAGTAGGCTCAGTTTAGATTCAAAGGGTTTTTATACTATATATATATATCATACATACAAATATAACCAGTATATCTGTAAAGGTGCAGTAATGGTTCTGGTAGTTGGGTACCGCCGCATGCATGTAAACAGAATTGTAAATCCATAGCACACAGTTATCTTCTGTCCCGTCTTCCTCATTCCAGGCTCTAAAGTCATAAACCAAAAAGCCTGTTTGCTAGATTCGAAAGGGAGAAGATTTCGACCAATTATTCAACGACGTATCTATCGTCCGTTAATCCCAGGCAGTAGAGATGCAACTTTCCACAGCCTCACTAATGACAGGTCCTCTATCATACACAAATAAAACTCGAGAGATAAAAACTTCGACCAGAATAACAACTCAGGGGAAAAACACTAACTGAAAGCGAAAACACGCTCAAATTTTCGGACATCATTTGCATCTGATGAGGCTGACAACAATGTGGAGTGAAAAAGTGGGGTAAGAGATGTTTGTAGAAAAAAAACGAAACAGTGCCTTACCTTGTTGCATTAGGGATCCGACGGTGAACCAGAAACTGTTACACAAAGTGAACTGGTTTTCCACACGTGTGCTGCATGGGTGTCGCGCATACCATTCGTGAGGGGTCACTCGGCCCAGTAAGAACAGCATGAGGCTCACAACAATGTATGCAATGAGTACGGATATCCAAACCTAAAAATAGACAATTACTTCGTGTTACACTGTTGATGGATATCGTGAAAATTTAACTCAGTTGCGTTTCTGAATGCGGCTATACTGGCACCCAATGTTTTCTATAAAAAGGTACCAATAACCCATGATGAGATGATAAACCCTTGTCCACTAGTTCTGGGAATGTAATGGGCAAATTCCGCGTTGAACATCGGAGACTGTCCGATACACAGTAATTTTAGGCACTGTGCCAATGAGGTCTCAAACTGCTGATATTCAAGCCAACTAGGTACAACTAGAGTAACGTGCAACAGTAAATTCGCGCTTCATTGCAGTGCACGTGACGATCAATTCAATAGCTTTACCTGACCTCTTCACCATCGCCGTTTTTACGCCAGCGAACTTGTGAGTCAGTAGTGTAGAGTAAATTCTCATTATGATCGTCTTTCAGATGCACTTTGGTATCTTCATCCTCAAACCATTATGTTTGTTTGACATCCACCTCCCAGAACGGCTTTAGAGAATTCAACGGAATCCAGGAATTTAACGCACTTTCACCCTCTGATCAAACTGAACAGAACAGTGGGAAAAACATGCTTCGGAGATGTATTATTTTAATGCGTTCTTCGTCTCCGAGAGTCGTTACAAATTAGTATACATAATACAGCGAAGCTTACAGTTTGGCACCAAAGAACTTCAGTCACTGTGGCAGTTTGATTCGTGCTATTCGACGGACTTCAAGAACAATAGACTTTTGCACTGTCACATGAGTGAGTCCGTTAAATATCCGTTTGATCATATTCATTAGAGTATACCTGCTAGTAACTTCGTACAGGGAGTGTGACATCTAGTGACTCGTTTCATGTATGTTTACTCCTTTACTCTTGTACACTCATGTTGCTGTCGACAGAAGACAACGAGCAGTAAGTGAATGAGAGTATTGTGGGAAATTTCTCCTCAAAGGCTTACATGCATATGGGGACGAAGTTTCCGTTTTGCTGACATTGAAATTGGCTTGAAATGTACTCATCCGACTTTATAATCGGGGTCGGCTAAACACAGTTCACGTACCGAAAATTCTGTTTTTCAATTTGACCCATTATTTCTACAAAAACCATCCGGTTTACTTTTTGCTTTTGTTTGGCTGAATATCAACCCTTATTTTCATCATAATCTACGCTGTGCTTACGATTAGCTTCCATCTTATGTGATTCGCACTGAACTCCGTCCATCTCTTGGTCACTTAGTGGATTTTGCTACTTTGGGTGTGCCTAAGCGGTGGTACATTGATGACTCGATGAAAAAACCAACTTTGGTTCTCGGAATGATATACTGTCTGTCTCTCTCTCCACTATTCACTGCGATACACTCATCAACACAACTATACTCAGAGTTTCATTGTCCGCTGATTGCAAAGCCCTCAAATGGAGTGTTTTGAGTGTGCGAAATTTGAGTCCTAATGACTTCTTGAATACATTCAACAACAATAAATTTATCACGTCAAAGCTCTACAACCACCGTTCAGATCCAGTCACCTTTACCGGTTTTGGTGACGTTGGACTGAAGGACAGAAGCCAAAGGGGTTTTTCACAATTGATTAACAAAAACTGTCTGAGTTTAGTTTGTGTCAAACAAAAATGTCACTGAAGAACGTGGCGTAGCGAACAAAAATTGCCTTCTGTGAGTTATCAATTATAATGCGTGAACCAGCAATCCACATGAAAGTTACTCACCGGAACATAAATACTGGTGAAAGGAAGAAAGCCTTCGCTGCGGAGTCATTCATTAGGAAATGCCAACTGATCGGTTACAGACTATTGGACAGGAAAGCAAAACTCTAATTTGCATCTTATTTACAGAAACTGAACATCCATCTTCTCCTGAACGCGTCTTCTTGAACTTCCCTAGAGATTCATTGACTCCAATCATTCCTCGCTCAAATCCAAGCAAATGTTACAAAGCGACTCCATATTTTCCGCAACAGATCTACCCTTTTCAAAGGGCGCAAAGTGAAATTCCACGAACAACACATATTACTCGCGTGCTTCCCCGTCAGTAGCATCACCGTTACTCTGGTATGTTACCCATTTATACAATTACTGAATACAACTTTCATCGTTTTTGTTACACCATCCGAGTGAACTTACGAATCGACTGCATTGAAAGCAGTCAATCGGGTTGATGAAGCTTGAAAATGATATTCAGTGCTTGCATTAAATATCGTTTGCCTGATATCATTTTTCAACACTGATACTTTGTTGCATTAGAGCACTGACCTAATTGGGAACCTTATTGTAATGTAAAAGATGAATTTAGATGAGGCCATACAAATAATTTCGGGGAACTCAAACGCTCTCTATTTCTACATGCCTTCCAATCATCGATTTATGCTTGTCACACCGGTGTTTACAAAACGAAAAGTACGGTGATTTTCCTGCTTCTCGACTGCAAAAATCACCATTTATGCCTTGGCAGCAACATCGTAATTGATCAAGCGACCAGTTATCATCACCATAATCAGCTGCAGCGGGAGAAAAAACCGCAGTAGTGCATTTTTGGTGAACATCAAGTCAGAATTTACAATAACTTAATTATTCCGAGTGCAGAACATCAAATTTTCGTTGATTTACCAAGCCAATGCAGCTTACAGTACTCTCAACTCGCAATAATAACGCAAGCGTTTTACACGCATGAATTTCGCTGACAAAATTACTCGAATCATACACCACATTTCCGTCTTCTCTTATGTTACTCGTTGTTGATGGCAAAAAACGCAGCCAAACCTCTTTGAGTAACTATAGAAAAGTTTTATATTTTACCCAGACTTCATGGGTTATAATTGGTTGTCTATGGTTTTCAAACTACTAGTTTTGTTTTCGGGGTTTCTTTCATGCCTTTTCTTTCCACAGAGTGGTCACCGGAGGGTTGGACACCTGTCAGAATCTAGTTCTCTCAAACCTTGCACGAATAGGTTTTGACGGGCGACCAAAAAACACATAGACCTAATCGATCATCACGTTTAATCCCCTTAACTCGATAAGGTGTTGTTTCAGTTTAGCCAAAATTCACCGAATGAGATCCCAAACCAAGTTCAGCAATAAACTTAGCTAATTTACACAAGACCTTCTTTAACAATCAATACCCAAGGTCCAAAAACTGGCATAGCCTATTTAATTTCCGTGTAACCGCTCTGATTACTTCTCCCTCACTCTCACCCACAAAGTTGAGTGGATGTGCACAATGTTCACTTGGTGCTGGTCAGTTAAGTTACCAAAGATTTTTCTAAATGAAGTATCCGCTGATGTTCTGGAGAGGATATGTTTTCTATGCCGTAGGTAACGAGTTTAGAGACAGTCAGGGGAGATGAACCAGTTAGCGAAAGCCATCGTGTGCCGAAAAGGAAATTGGTTTGGCACAGAGACAGTACGGACGAGCAGACGATGAGTGTTCAAAATTTTCACTGAATTCACTAGTCATGCACCTAGAAATTAATTTAGAAAAACATACAAAAAACGACTTCCACTATTTTTGCCCCATATCGCCCCTTTCTTCGGCCTTTTGCTAGGTATGTTTGCCCCGAGCACCGAGGAATTTGTTCATGATTGACTTGAAGGAAACGGTATCCTAAACTAGCTTCTCCTTTTAATAAATAAAAAGCACTTCCACTAAGATTACAAAGGATAATAACACTGGTTGTGACTATTCTCAATGCTACCACCATTGTTACTTGTGACGGTTAGATTTTGATTGCAAAAGACCGATATATCAAGCGCAAGATACAAGGGAGCCGAACATCGGACTAACGAACCAAGAAACGAGAGTCCAACACATTTTAGACTGGCCAGACTGGCCAGACTGGCCATATTTTGAACTGCTGGAGATACAAGGGAGCCGAACATCGGACTAACGAACCAAGAAACGAGAGTCCAACACATTTTAGACTGGCCAGACTGGCCAGACTGGCCATATTTTTGAACTGCTGGTGTTGGGGCCATGCAGTCTGATAGTAGCTGAAAACCCAAGAAGCTCTCAGCAGCTCTTTCAGCCTTGTTAGAGATCGACAATATGAACTTCACGAAAATCAAAGGTCTCCGAATCGACCAACTTCCGGCTGGTGGCTGAACAATTATTTCCCTATGTACGAGAGCCAATCATACTGCTGATCAACCAGTCATGGACGAAAGGTTACGGGGTCGGTCATTGGCTGGAAAGTGGCAGACTGGAAACTATGAGTTTCGTCAAATGCGAATTCTAAATGTTTCCCAACAAGAATTAAACAGCTGTACGGTGCTTCTGGGCTCAACAGCACAGATTAACTCGACCGACAGGATCAAATCTCCATTGAAACTCTCTAAATCTCTTCAGATTACCATCAAATAGCGGATTGGTCACACTTTGGGCTTCTCTTTCCCAGTCAAAACATTATTTTAATAGCAGCATGCAGATAATCTGAATTTCGTTGATGTCGTCTTATCTGGCACTTGAAACAATCGTCGGCCAGGATTTTCACTGGACAATTACTAGTTGTGTATAAATTACACTCGGAGGATCTCACTTATAAGCTTAGAGTGTTGTAATACAGACGGAATTATAACTTCTTTTCCGCAACCAATATACGTTGATGAGTGTTCTTCCCAAAAGTACAAACCCACCACTGAATACCACAAATATCTGCATTCTTTTGAGAATTTTACTCATGGGCGTATCGTGATAATTTGGAAGACAACAGTTTTAGGTCCTTCCTTCTGGTTGAGCTCTATGAGCAGAAAGTCATATATATATATATATATGTTGCAGACCGCGGAGTAAAATAGAGAAACCCGAACTCATAAACTAACCAAAAAAAAACGAAATCTTTGGAAGGTAACCAATTTGTGATAAGAGGATTGGACGGTGAGTCGTCTTTGTGAAGCTGCCACTGGAGCTCTCATCCCGACTTGGTCTCATGGAGTGAACATAACACGATCAACGAATAAAGAAGTAGCTTTTACACATCGCTCGCGCAACAGTTATCCGTAAACCAAACGTTGCAATGAAAACAGTAGCGTAAAATGAAAATAGTTTGGTGAAATAGGTACTCGTGTCCTTTGTCGGGAACTCACCTCCCTAGACAATGGTGCGGTGAACTGAAGACCAGTGTCCTGTTTGCTCTTTTGTATTATCACGCTCAGTGACAAACTCATGAACGGTGTGGTGAAGTCGATAACACGCTCGCGATCGTATGTAATTGTCAGCGATGCCACTGCCAAGTGAGCTTTCTGATAACAAAAAATGAGAATTAAAAATTAATAAATAGTCAAAGTATTTTATTAGTGGGACACTCTGCATCGGTCACACCTCGAAAAACATGGCTTATTCAACAATCTTCTCCGAAGTCAGTTTTTATGCGAGTCTGTCTCAAAGTGAATGAACGTGCTAATTCACAAATTTGCAACTCGTAAAGTCTAGACGCGGTGATATCTCCTGGTCGAATTTAGCTCAAACACTTTCGTTGATCTACTCAGATGCATGACCAGGTCTTAATAGCACGCGTTTCCACTTTCATACTTTTGGAACTAGGTGCAATATGGTCACTCCATTAGCAATACAAACCAACGTGCATATTTTTCTCAAGCCGTTTCTTTCCAACAATTGTAAAATTACACTACACTCTACACAAACCGATATAAAAAGTAGATTTCATAGGATTAACAATACATACTGCCCCATTGCTAGCAAGCGCTAAGTTGGAGGAAACACTCGGGGTTTAAAGTTCTGACAACTCTGTACAGGAGTGCAGGTCACTAGGATTTTAAGCAGATATCGCTGCAACTCACAGAGCAGATACCGAACTATAAGTCATCAAATAGATTTCGTTAAGTAACTTGGAAGGGGTTTGAGGTGGATGGTTACCCGATTTTGATGAAATGCAACTTAAAAAGCTGATTTTGATGCAAGATCCTATCGGCAACCAGTAGGTTGGCTGGCCAGTTTTTTTAGAAGCTCTTGGTGCTTAAATCGTATTAAAAGCAACTGAGTTAAAAAAGTTATTGGATCACATTTGCTCTCCAGCACGACGAAAGTCATGAAATACGATGTCACAAAAACCGTAAGTCCTTAAGAAGGAAGTGCCACGTGGGTAACGTGGGCACGTAGGCTACGGCGTGTTCACCACAAGAGAATAAACCTCTGGTTTTTCGATGGTGGTAAATGGTGGGTCGGTTGTGGCGTAAATCCCAGGGATCAGGCCCATTATTTTTTTCAAGAGTCTAGGTACAATAATTGATTAGGGACGAGGTTATATCTTAGCGGTTTTGAAACTGTTTTTCTAGCACACGGAGCGCGAACGTTTCCTCGCAATGTTTCTCCGTGGATGTCAGTGTTTACGCGTTAAGAGCTGAGTGAGAGATCGTGACGATCAAGGTCACTAAAGTCCACTGCAGTCCACCTGGTATGTAACCATGACGGGAACTAAATGTTCGCAGTTCAACTGTATCGAACAAACTAGCCAAGACGTTCTCCACCACAACCATTATTCACCTGTAATTTTTTTTAGCCAAAATTGCACTCGAATTGTATTATTAGTTTACCTGATGTTTTCATGGGGTACAGAATCAAATCAATACTGAATAAAACTCAGTCAATCCTTACCGAGTAAATCTGTATCAGATACAGATGCCCTGTTTATTAACTGCTGCGAAAACAGCTACCTGCGCCATAACTGCAGTTCGCTTAATCATATGACCAGTCACGACCGTCTGATCTACTTAAACCGTAATGACGGCTGACCAACAATTCGGCTGACCAAAAAAGTGTATCGTAAAATCCGTCTATATGAGCCAACTTTTTGCCTTGGCATTTAATCATAGTATTCAAAAGTATAAAAAAAGAGCAGAAGTAATTTATCTTAGGAGAGATGTCCTTCAGTGTATCGTAAGATAGTGGTAGGCGAGACTTGAGTCCGACACACTGCATTGGCTCAGTCACGAGATTTTGTGTCCCGGATTGTGCAGCGGAAATTTCATATCGTTTTCCCTCTTGTGGGACCTATCAACCATGCTGATCTTCTACTGGTTTTATTAAGCGTCAACAAAGCTTTCTATCAGCAGAGACCCTAGATGTATACTACATTTTTGTATCTCTCAAGTATACCACTTCGGTTGCTTTGACCTTGAATGCTTCTCTGGATTATATAAAAATTGTTTGTTGAATGCTAAACCTCTATAGAGATGAGCACATCTACGGTTAGTGAGTACTTTTCATTAAGTTGAAATTCACACGAAGCGAATGGCATCTGGCCTAGGATAGAGGATTATACGGCTGGAAACATTTTTTGATATCGAAATACGCTCATTGGCATACCAATTTATTCTTCGCGGGGGGACCAGACTGACTTGGTCATCTAAGATGTTTTCTTTATAATATCATTCTCCTAATATTATTCTTAGTCCATGGTATCCGGGGATGACCTTTGACCGCGATTAGTTATTCGGTTGGGCGGTTCCATTGGTTGTTCTTTTATCCCGTGTCTTCATTCGCCGATGCCCACGTGACCTTTGAGCTTGGCATCCCTCGCCGTCGTAATCTGGTCGATATTGGAGTGATCTTTGTCATTCCGAGTTCCGGCTTGTGACCTTCGTTGATTTGACTCCGAGGAGTTCCTTGTTTCTTTATTTGTGAATCCAATATTCAGTCCTCCTTGAGTAATCCGGTTGAGATGTTGGTCTTTTGCACCTAAAGGCACGTAAATTGGATCCAGTTCGATGCACCGGTTGATCGAATCTGCCATGCTTCCAGAAATTCCCTTCCGTGTCTCGTGTATCCGTATGCCAAAATTCTTTTCCAGATTGAATTTGAGGCCCTCTCAATCCTCGTGCATAGATATCAAGGACAGTGGGTCATGCCTCCTGACAGCCGTGTTGTGTTCCTTTATTCGTGTACATAATTTCCTCCAAGTTTGTTCAACGTAGAATTTGTTGCGGTCGTTGCAGTTGATTTCATATATCACATTGTTCCTCTTGGTTTTGTCCCGGTTGTCCTTTGGTCTACAGATTAATTTCCTTGGAGTAGCACTCGGTTTACGGGCCACGAAGATTCCTTTTTGAGCCAATAATCTGGTTGCGAGTTCTGATATATTCTTGATGTAAGGTAGGGCTACCCGTCTGGTGGCTTGTTCTTGCTCTTGCTGTTGTTGAGACGTCTTCTTCAAGTTTCTCTTGATAAAACTCCTTGGATATCCATTGTTCTGGAACACTCTGAATAAATGGTTTTCCTCCTTCTTCCGTAGTTCTGCTGCAGTGCAGTGTGTCTCCGCCCTCTTGAAACGTTTGCAATCGAATCGCTCAGCTCAGCGAACAAGCCAACGACCATCTACGCTACCTACGGAAATTTTACTCTACTCTTAGTTCTATTTTCCATTCAGATGGTTTAGATTGAATTAGTAAGTATGGCTCTACGTAGCTCGTACTGCCAGCGAAAATACCTTACAACAAAAATGAACCCTGATCAATAAAATGTCTTTTTCGAATAAGCCCAAGGAAAAATGTCCACGACAAACCTGCTTTTGGTGAAATAAACATCGGAGTCTTTCAGTTTGTTAGATCTCGTCACCCTAATTTGGAATGCCGGATTTTAAAGCTAAAATAAAAAAAACTTCTTCTGCGTACGTCTAACTTTTTTGCTGCTTACTGTGAGTAGAGTAGTAAACTGGAGGAGAGGGCTAGAATAGCCACAGTCAGCTTGCCAGTGCGACCAAAATCTGGCACGCAAAACGAGCTGGTGAGCTGTGGATTTAGCGATGTACGATAGCCATTCCCAAATTAACAGTGAACAAATTCCTTTTGAGTTCTTTTTGCTGCATTGATTTTCGCATTTTCAATGGTAGTTTGTGCCAAAGAGTTCAGAGGTTCTCAGACATCAAATTTTGCTGATCCGTTTGACATAGAGAAATAACTGTAATTGAGGGAATTGAGCGACCGTATTCGACTGCTGAAGCACACAGCTCGTTGAGAAAATTTACTCAATGGGAGATACATCCAAGCATTCATATTTCACAAAATAACTTACAGATGGGTAAATGAATCGGTCTAGGCACAGAGTTGCGTCAAAATCGGGATGAGGTTGATCAGAACTATGTTTTTGCTTTCAGCTTATGACCCCAAAATGATAAAACCATTGATGGCTCGTTAACTAGCTTCCATCAGTCTTATCAAAAGTAATGTTGAGAGCGTCAGTCATTCTGAATGATAAATTTAATGAGGGTAGAGTAAAGCATGCAATTTTTTGACCGATTACCTTGTAAATCAGTTCGCCTATTAGTCCATCCCAGCGTCCTTTGGTTTCATCAAACGTGCCAAACTTTCGATCTTCCACCGGCTTTATCACATAGTCAAAGTGGTTCATTTTACTCAGGTGCTTAAGCAATTCCATTGCAAAGCCAGTCCACTGGTCTTTACCTTCCATGTGCTTCCCTTTTCTAAATGGTTCGTAGATCACAAATGGTGGGTCCTAAAATCAGAAAATAAAAGGATTTTTCCCGAAGGAATTTGAGGAGCTCAGGTTCACATGAACTAGTTTAAGTAGCATATTATGGTCATTCGTTAATTTTCAAAATGAGATCCGAGGATTTTAGAGATGACGGAAGCACAAATATGTTTTTTATTAAAGTATCATGTAAAAGCAGAAATACGATTTGAATTTTTTATCTTTCTAATCCTATTTTACTTGACCACGAACGTTTAAATTTCAGTTGGCTAGCAGACTCTGAAAAAGACGTGACCAAACGCATTCTTTCATTACCATTTTACTCTAGAATACACGACATTAGATTTGGACCAAGACTGTAATATAAAAAAATGAAAGGTCCCAAAAAGGAACCCTAAAAAAGGTATACGGCTCAATTTGTGATGTTTTCAGAATTCCCACTATGTTGGTAACCTCAGTCCCTGAAAACGCTGGATGTACCAAAAAGATTGGCAAAAAGACATTATAAACTATCACATTTTTCTTCTTTGAGGGCCTCTGATATAAAACTATCACTTATCCCCCAGATTGAGGTCCCAGGAGAGAGTGGTTTTCAGTCACTGGTCACATTGTTTCAAACCAAATCGACCTGACTCCGTTAAACCGGTAAAGCAAGCATAGGAAAATTTCCCCAGAAATGTGCCATGAAACAAACCCTTGAAAACCCTATTCGTCCATTATCGTTTGGGTTATCGGCTTCAATGTATGGTCCCTTGCGTCAGCAAAAAAACAGAGTGCACTTTTAACTGGACAGTTGGTCGGATGACTTGAACAGAAATATGAAAAACGTTGTGGGGTGGCAGAAACTGAACAATGCTGGGTGTGCGCACACAAAGCCTTTCGCCATTCTTAGGACTCACCAAGTAGGCACAGATGATGTTTGGGCCAGATTCTGATGAAGGTTAACTTGAGCGTCACTGACAAATCTGACTGATTCTAGTTGGTTTGGTGATGCCAAATGAATTGCCAGATAAATGTCAAGAGTGATCGGGCTCATTAATTTGCGATCACGTTTACACTGGTGGGTGGCTTTTAACAAGACATAGAACGTTCGCCGGCTTATTTGATTGATTCGGATCTACTTTGCACCTCTACGTTTGCCGTCATCCTGGATGGGGACCCCGAGCCACATCAATGGCTAGAGACATTGTCATACATGGCCCAGTCGCGCCCTCAATAGCGCTCGTGCATCAAAGCTACTGGCTTCAATTCCTAGCTCTTTTTCCAACCCCACCCTATTTGACATCCCACTGACAGTGCTGGATTCATGCATCAATTTATCAGNATGGCGCTCGTGCATCCAAGCTATTGCCTTCAATGCATTGCTCCTTTTCCAACTCCCCCCACTTGACAGCCCACTGAAAGTGCTGAATTTATGCACCAATTTATCAGCTCCCGCCTGCAACGCGCAGCTACTTACACCCCCCACCAAATCATCAGTGAACGAAACTACGGCAGCTACAACCACTGTACGACGAGTACGCGGTTATTGAAGCTGACATTGATGAATGATGATGATGATGATGCACCAGGGATTTGCATGCAGTACCACTCTCGGGGCTAGATGCACCTTCTGTGGCCATCCTATATTCGCAGTCGTCCGTTGATTTTACAGTTCATTCCTGATTTTAGTTGTCCATATTTTTTCACAGTGATAAAGTATGGTCGAGAATGTTTCACCCCTAACTTATTGGTCCCTCCTAAGTTTCCGGACGAAATACGGATGGGAAATTCCACATTACCTAGATTCAATCGATTCCTTTTCATAACAAACGAATTTGGTATGCAATTCGTGCATGTTATTAGCTTTAACTTAGTGCTCCAAAACTTTGGTTTCATCGTACTACTTAATGCCCTTTGATCAAAGGGGTCTACTTGGCCACAAATTACACCGCTAAAAGTAAAATTCCGGGAATTTCAAGCGCTTTTTTCCATTGGCAGGAACGCTTACTTCAATACATTCACATTGATTTACCTCATCTCAGAATTTTCCCTATCACACATGGTCTCCTACTGCCAAGTTTTGACAGGTTCTGTGATTTCCCTTGTGACCTTGGTTGTGACCGGATGAAAACATGAACACAGGCTTTGTTTTTTTCTTTTATGAACCGGTTTTTACCCAGAAACTAAAACACTTGCAAAATGAAGCCTGGGTCTCGTGGGACCAAGGTGAAGAAAAGGCGGAAATCGATATACCGTCCACGGTTGCGTCCGTTTGGTCGGATGAACACCCGTCTAATCTTTCACAAACCCTACGGATTACCTGTCGACGGTAGGCGGTCGACTGTCAACCTAGGTTTCTTTAGCTTGCAGGTTGAACAACATTGTAAGGGTGACATTGTTGCTGGATAAGCTCAGTTCATACACTCTCCTCTGCCCAATGAGGAATAAATTGAAAAAAAAACGGAGACGATAGTATCGTCTACCTGAAACTAAAATGCAATGTGACCAACTTGTCGGTGTTGTAGTAATGCCCAAGTTCTTCTGAAGACAGAGTACAGATCTAAATTGACTAATCAATAGCATTTCGGGGAAATTCGTTTTATATAATGGAACGCTTCGTGCAATGACCTTGAATGATGTGAAGTTTCCACATCGTTATCTAGTAAACGCCTACACGAGTGATGATTGGTGACCTGGGTTTTCGAAAGCTGAAACAAAAACTGGACAGGTTCCCTTATGCTTTTGCTTTTTACCTTTGATAGTTTCTCCCAATGCATGTGCCACCGAAGCTGTGGGTAAATTTTCAAATGCAAACTAATCGAAATGACTGGTACGGACGTCCGGATCGGCGGCATTCACGTCGCAACTGCATATACCTTAACAATCAGTTGTGATGTCATAAATGACAGAAGTAGAGCCCTGTTTAAATCCAACCAAAGCCATGAGCGCCAGTTTAGGGAGCCTCTAGGCAGATAGGTTTCTTCGTTACTGTGATTTACGCACATTTGTCGCTGCTGCTGAACTACTTTACACTGAAACAATAAAGCAATTTTTATTGTTCGATTCAAGCTCAGAAAGACTTGAACGCCACTGTGAGACTGTCACGGTTTATGTACGTGTTAGTTTCATGTAAACAATGCCACTAGTTCTCTAATCTGTTCTAAATCTTTTATTACAGACGAGGCTGCACGTAGCAAACTAGTTTTGGTGATTTATATATTGTTTAAATTAAACAGTGATTTGAAATGTAAGCTGTATATTCTTATAGTTTGTGTTGTTCAGCGATATTCAACGTTAAATTGCTCTAAATTTGGGTTCCTCTTTCTTGATTCCCGGTTAAAGTTTCACAAGCAGCAACACTTACCTCAATAGTGGTGACAATGAAAGTCTTGTTTTCGAACTGGGATCGGAAACTTGCCCAGAGCTCGTCACTTTCTTTTGTATATACAAAGCCTTGTTTCATATTCCAGTCGGCGTACTGGAACCAAAAGATAAAAAAGGATTAATACCACTCAAAACAGTTCGAATTATTTTGCATGTTAGCGAAGCTTGAAGGATAAGCTTGTGGAAGCGCTATAGTTTTTGGAGATATGCGCTGAATACCATTATCTTCAGTTTGGTGAATAGAAAGACCAAGACTTATAAAAGATGAGCTAACGCTGGATAAATAAAAATTCTCATAGTTCAATATTTATTAATGTCCCAAGCTAGCAATTCAAGTCTTCTGTATTTCCATGATTTTGGTTGACTATATTCAGATACTCGTGCAGGAGGGTCCGATAAGCGGCTAAGGAAAAATGAACCCACTGGAGCATATACATGTAACTTTGGCGCGTGAATTTAATTCTTGCTGTGCTCAATATGCACTTAGACAAGCCTCCACTGTATGGCGGGGAGTACTGATGATCCACTTTTCGTTTTCTATCAAGCCATCCGAGTGAGTTATAGTCACAGCTATCTATAGGAGCGTGATGGTTTTCAACCAACGATGATTCTGATGCATGTGGTAAGGAACAGGCGGTCTTTAAGTCCAAGTCTTTTTATTCGTTCGACACTGTAAGTGAGATGTCTCTTTCGTCTCTAGACCGGCCATCACTCGAGGGCTATCGCTATAAAACCGCAAAAATTAATTAATACAAACGGTCAAGATGGTGCTTGATGCATCAACTACTTGGAGGAACTAAAAAAACGAATAATTTGATTGAACTGATTAGCATGAGCGCGGTACATGGTAGAGTTAGGTCCCAGTCCTCGAAAGCAGAGATAAGGCTAACAAGCCACCTTTTCAAGNGATGATCCACTTTTCGCTTTTTATCAAGCCATCCGAGTGAGTTATAGTCACAGATATTTATGGGAGCATGATGGTTTTCAACCAACGATGATTCTGATGCATGTGGTAAGGAACAGGCGGTCTTTAAGTCCAAGTCTTTTTATTCGTTCGACACTGTAAGTGAGATGTCTCTTTCGTCTCTAGACCGGCCATCACTCGAGGGCTATCGCTATAAAACCGCAAAAATTAATTAATACAAACGGTCAAGATGGTGCTTGATGCATCAACTACTTGGAGGGACTAAAAAAACGAATAATTTGATTGAACTGATTACCATGAGCGTGGTACACGGTAGAGTAAGTTCCCAGTCCTCGAAAGCAGAGATAAGTCTCACAAGCCACCTTTTCAAGCGCTAAAATTTATTTTTGGTCTAGTTTGATCCAAACTCAATAGTTAATGATCGTCTACTTTGTCGTATCATTGGGTGGTTTTTTCGAACGCTTAGAATACTATGTATTGAGCTTAAAACAACGTCCAGCTGTGCACACATTTCGCAACCCTCAGTATAAGGGAAAATCTGCGGGGATGATGAAAGCGGCAAATATCGAAAAAATAGATAAGGACGTCAATATCCTGGGATTTTGTGGATTGAATTTGGTTCGAAATAATGGATGCATCCGATTCTCTGGGTCGCTTCTTTGAATTAGGTACTTTGAAAATGATTTGTGTCTAAGCCCTTTAGACGACATCAGAAAAAAAAGACATTCGTGCCCACTAGAAAAATCTTTACACTTTCCCAAGAATAAAAATTGTTGGGAGTAGCAAAGTATGCTTCGATATATTACCCATCCTTCAGAAATTAGCCTAGTCTGCTTAAATCTCTGCTAATCTTTTCTGCGTCATTTAACGCACCGCTTCTTTCTATTTTTAGATTCGCCCATGCGAGCATTAAGACGCCTCCACAAGATGCATTGATGAAATCACTCAAAAACAGCTGGTTCCAAGGAATTCTTAGATAACGATAAAATCCGTCACTCATCTGTGCATAAGATTTTTCTAACCCTAAGTTTCAGATCTACGATTCAATGATAGTGGGGTAAAAATCATGCTGGTCTTGGCATGGCCAGAAATAGTGCGAAAGTCAAACCACTAATTTAGAGGGAAGTTGTGAAATTGATGGACAGAGACAAGCATTAGATAGAAATGCCTCACTCTACTTTAACATCCGAGTATAATCAAACATGGAGCCACCTGAATAAAGCTGTTTTACACTTGTTCATCTACAACAAAACAAGGTTTCAAGGTGGGAGCTAAGTTATTAATAAGCTGAGTGGTCGAATAACTCAGACACTCATTTCTTTCATCATTTTCAGCAAGTCGCTGGAACGGCATGAAAAGAAGAAGCAATTAGGATTAGGGAAATGTTGAATAGTTGTTTTGGTCATTCAGATACCGAGATACGTTCTCCTAATCTTGTTTTCTTTGCTATATTTATTGTGTTTGTCAGTGGAGGAAAGTAGATTGAGATTACCGTGTCTTCTTCGGGTCTTAATCGAATTGCCTGCTACTTGTAATGAACAAATATAACAAGCAATATGGTTACAAACAAGACTGAGGGCGATCTATCACTCAGTTAAATGATATGTAATGGAAATTGAGGTGGTTTCTCAGTGCCGTGCAGAGTTCAGAAAACGCATTAAAACCGGTTTTTTATTTTGTGTGCACCGGCGTTAAAAACGCTTAAATTGGATGCTTGATTCTAGGTTGACGTGAGGAATTGTTTCCGTTGGTACAGAACAAAATATTCTTGACTTTTAGAAGCTGCACATTTGCGCTATTTCGTTTGTTATATCATTGTATGGTTTTGTATGTGTCAACGTTTAGAAGACGTTCGTTCGTCCTAGGTAAGACCTTATTCCACTATCGATTTGCTAATCAATGCAGCCATCAGAAGACTTACACGGTTTAAAGGAAACACTTTAAAACTGTTATTTTTGGTGTCAGAATCACCAGCAAACTGATATGGGACTAATTACTTGAACGAAATCATGTAGCTAGAACGGAAGTGAAGTTAAATTCGGAGCCAGCCAGATAAAGCTGGCGATAATGAGCTGATGAATGACGCAGGCTATGTGAAGGACATTTTCTTGGACTTGGCTGATCAAGCTAGGTTCACTGTAGTTCAAAGCCAGACGGACAAAATATTTGCTTTAAATATTACATCTCAAGGAATTTTAACGATCAGTCGGAAGTGATGGAACTATTGCATTTAGCCGGGTTAAAACGCTCGTGTATTCGAACCCCACAATATTTTGATTCTTGTCTAACTGACGATGAACTGTTAGCTTAACCCAGTTACCCTGTGGTCAGAAAGTGTTTCCGACACCGAGTGGGTTTGGTCTATTCAGAGATTGCAAGACACCCCTAAATTGTCCCTCCTCAAACTCTAGACGACATTTCAGTAGAAAAAAACTGGTTCTCTATGGGTGTTGATGCATTGGTTACAGACGCGTTTTTGGTACAGACAGTCAATTATATTTCTTTTCCTACGGCGGAAAACCAGTACAATGGCCTAATGGCACACTGTATGATTTATGAGATCCATATTTATGAGATCCATACCCGACATCCAAATTCACTTTCAGTGACACCATGCAGCCGAAATACGCCTGACTGTGGCCTCACTTTTGTTAACCTTCCTGAAATGATTCTAAATAGTGGTGAAACTAAAGAGATGTGTATATTCCTTGTGCTTGCTGAAAACAGTTATTCAGTATTTCCTGTAAGGCTGATGCTAACTGAAACCTAAAAGAACTTGTAGAGCATCCAGGCCCTCCTGATGACTCGATTATCCTTGAACCAGAGCAAGAACCTAAAGGGAAGTTTCATTGTATAAACGCCCTGATAGCCTGAATTATCCATCTTGCGGTGTTTAAAAAGAAAGCGTTCAGAGTTTGTTTCATTTAAACCTCTGGTCTCCAGGGCAGGTAGTGAGATTCAATAAACTGTGTCATGGCTCCAACCCCAAACATTTCGCGGAACGAAAAATAACCAGAGGAGTTTCCATAAATGCATGGTCCCTAATAGCTGAGAAGAATCTTTCATCGTCTTTTTCTATTTAGGGCAGTTTAGCTACTCACACACACACCTAAACCACAAGAAGTGAGAAAAACACTTTATCCCCCTTGAACTTTGCGTTCTGTTTAGTAGCTCCGAAAGAATAAAGGCGAATAATGAAGGCAGCTTGTTCCCGCCAACCCGTTTTATGACAATAGTATCGGTTGTCTCCGGTAGTCTGACCTTTTTTACGATACCAGTTATATGATTACATATATGATTATATATATGATATGATATATGATTTATATGATATATATATATATATATATACGGTTGCAGCCTCGACGACACCAACTACCATATCTGACTGCAGGTCCGTGTGCACAGAATTATTGTTGTGGGTGCCATAGCTCTCCTGGCCACCCAAAAAATGCTAATAGTGGTTATGGAGCTGAGAAAGTGATCGTTGTGATGTACGGCCTACGCCTGTTTAGTACCATGCGAATTCTCGACAAGGATACATAACACCACTTGCGTATGACTAGTTACTCCACAGTTTTATCTTTAACGTATTGCTGGTTTCATCTAAACCTGGTCTGTATCAGACCAGTCGATGTAAATTAGGAAGCTATTTTTGGCCTCGATTTAGTTCTTGTTTTACCATAGAGCTGGTGTGTAATATGATATATGAAAATTTGTAGTAACTTCGAAGTCAGTTCCCTTGAGACAACCCTGGCAAATGTTTTACGAAGGAAATTACCAATATTACTATTGTTACCAATAAGATCACCAATTTTTCCAATATGCTATAAGATTGGTTCGGTCCTTAAGAGAAATTTAAAAGTATGGCCCTAGTTTTCCTAGTGTTCCGGTCAGCCCCACAAAAGGAATAGACACTGAATAATTTTTCTTGTCTGAAACATTTCTTGTTAGAAACCAAACATGTGTGGTTTTGATTGGTTCCGCTCGCAGAACAGCCCAGAGGGTGAACTCACCTTGTTGATTGTATCTCCTCGCACACTGATCATCTCCACACCGTAGTCCAAGAGCCGTCCAGACGCCTCTCCTTCGGTGTAGCCGACTGAGGATTGCAGGACTTGCTTTGATTTGGAAGTAAGGTGGATTGTATTATATTTATAATTTAGAATATAGAATCCAGTTTGGCACCATTTGAGCTAATAAAATGAAGAAAGTGACTTTTTATGATTACGGAGGTCTAATTCGCTCACAACCCCAGCCATTAAATTTTCGCGATGAACGTAAGAAAACTTTTACGTAAGTTGAATCAACGAATGAAGCTACCTGCAAAGAAAAAAGGTGAGTTGTAGATCAGCGCGTTCATAAAAACAGGCCACAAAAGAAAATTTACCGGTTTTACCTCATTTTCCTTAGAACCCAAAAATTGCTTCCAATGAGCATTTCAAGGATAACTCCGTGAGTAAAACACCAAGAGGCAACAGGGATTACTCACAGACTTCTCAGGACCTCCTTATTTTCCTAAGGTGTACAAATGCTTATTTCGTACTAATGGATAGATAGAAAATGAATTTATCAAAACCTAGAGTGAGGTTTGAGGGAAACAATTCATGAAATGAACGAAGGGAAAGCATTGCAGTTGCCTTAGATATTAATTCGGTATAAATAGATGTTCAAGTTGTCCACAAAGAGGAACGGTTTTGCGATGAGAGTTTTTTTGTTTAACAGAGTGCCGTCGCCTAACGTCAAATCTCAAAACGATCGATAACATATTAAGGTGGCCAGTGAAACATCTTTGTCATCAAAAGTTCCGTCGTGTTAATGGAAACCCTCGAAGCCTTCATTTGGGAAGCACGCGTAAGCGTAAATTCCAACGAGCACATTGCTTCCCCAGAATATGGTTGTAAAATCAGCTCCGCATTCGTGATCCGTTAGAAACTTAGAACAACGGGAATCTGTTTCAGCTGAGGCTCGCACTTGACAGCGGGGGTCTGCATTGAAAATTTAGCAACCCGAGTTGAATTCCTATGCTTGATTGCGTGTGGGTTGTTGTTTGATTTTCTCAGTATGGTAAGGGCTGCATTATAGAGGGCCTGGAGGGTTTGGAAACGCCTCACATCACACAGTGTTGCACCGACTACAAGTTGCTTTGTCCCGCGGAACGCATTTTCTCTCTTACCGCATGCAGCACTTGTCCGAGCATGGCGTCCTAATTACTAGAGCTATTTATTTGGCACCTGCGCAACCTATTGTCATCATTTAAATGGGTTGTAATTGCTTGCACACCAGTTCCCTGTATGCACTGACTGAGGAACAAGTTCGTAGTTCGTCACAGTAGCCTACTTTGCATGTGGAAGCACATCCAGTGCGAACACACACAACCGAACCATCTACCTTTCCAAGTAGAGTAGACGATGTCCCAGCACTTATAACTGCCTTGCTTGCATATCTGTAAAGGCCATCTTAAGTAAATGCAACAAGAGGCAAATATATTGTGAGAGGTTTGGTCTGGCTAGTACAGTGCCCTCAGACCTCTGAGTTCATGGCATTTGATGATATCACGGGGACGGTAAAACAAGTCTTACGTGAGCTTTTTAACTCGCCATTCTTAAGTCTGCAAATATTTTCGTGTGTAAAATTTGAGGCCGGATCCACTTTGGTTTACACGGCGTGAAAAGCTTGGTGAGCACTCAGGTGTGGTAGGACACAGTTTTTCAAATGAGCAGAACCACAGTGATTACAGCCACAAGATTTTATTGTCGACATTAGAACAAACCATGGGGACACTTCTCGCATCTACCTGTCGGTGCGTGGGATAGGTTCAGAGATGCTCTCATCCACATACTATTTTTGGCATAAACTATCCAATTGTTGTTCCAATTTTAAGCAAGACAGGATGTGTCTTTATTTGTGGTTCCTTGTGAGTTTTGAATCAAGCTATGATGTAAAGAACTACACAAAGTTATAAGTCCCATCAATGGTACTTTGTAGAATACAATACATTAATGCCACTCAAATCTTGGAAGGAGAGTGCTGTAGCAACCGAAAGAGAGGGAAATTTATTATTGCGCAGAGACAAATTTGGGAAGATCGTTGTTTCATTTTTTCACTTTTTGACTGAAATAAGTCCTCTGGCAGCGACAATATTGCCCCGAGGAAGATTATCTCATTCCGCAATATTTGTGGATGGACCCTCACTGATACTTCCCAAGACAACAACTGGCGACCAATGCATAGAAACCATCTCTCCTTACCACTGGGTGTCATTTCCACTCAGCTGAATCTCTCGTGTGTGATATTTTACAACTGAATGTACTGCACACAGGCCGCTTCATGATATTCGAATATCGTGCCAACTGAATCATGAGGCGGCCTGTGAGCAGTACATTTAGTCGTAAAATATCATAAACGAGAAATTCAGATGAGTCTCTCGTGAAAACCAACTTGATTTGCAAATTAGTGTATTTCTCGAATGATCAGTTTTCCTCTTAGAGGGCAGTAGTCTGACATTATCGTACGCCAATACTCTTCTAAACTCCAAAGTTCAGCAGTATTACCTCTTGCCCTAGAACGTCAAGCTTATCTATAATTTGACTTACAGCTTACCATGGACAGCTGAAAACTTTGGCACGGAAATGTACAAGTCTTGTGATATGCCCTAGAAACAACGAAAGAGCTTATTTTACGATAGCTAAAAACCAACACCGATTTCCGTAATGCCGCCGTCTTTAATGTTAGGTCATTTACTGAACCACCCGGTATTACGGGTAGGCTGCAATTTGGGCTGTTTGAGAAAGCAGGCTTGCGTCAGCCACTTAAGAGCTGTCACGTGAAAATGTGGGAGGTCATTTACTGAACCACCCGGTATTACGAGTAGGCTGCAATTTGGACTGTTTGAGAAAGCAGGCATGCTTCAGCCACTTAAGAGCTGTCACGTGTAAATGTGGAACTGACCAGTATTCAGGACCTTCTGATTGTTTCTGTAAGACAGTTCGTTATCCTATTTACGTGGAGAGAAATTAAATCGAAAATAAGGGCATTTTTCATTTTGTCGCAAAGTATAGTTTCTTGGGAGCTTCTATTAAAATGTGACCACGGACGTAGCACTACAGTATGTATACGGGGTTTCTGTTGAAGGTGTTCCTGTCAGCTTCCCTCCGAGACCAACAGACGCGCCAAAGGTACAGCAGGTCAACGGAGAACACTGACACTTTAGAAATTCATGAAATATTGGACCGTTTATACACTTAGCATGATAATTCCATTCCTATGAATGTGGACGGAACGAAGGTCCGGTTAACTAAATAATTCTGCCAAATCGACGAATGAACCACACCTGAAACCACGTAACTAACAGTAATGAAGGCGGTGAACATACTTAGCATGTTTTTACCCCGTAGAGTTTGTCAAATATATCTGACCAGTTTATCTTATTTGGTCTATTCACGTCCAATTTCCAAGGCCATCGTGGGACGAAACGTGTTCCTTATTGATTAAATCACAATAAGTACTTAATTAAAATGTAGAATATGCAGGTATGTAAAAGACTGCGTATAGATAAAGGTGAGTTGAGATATTTCCTATGCTAAATCAACCCTAGAATTGTTAAACATCGCGAAAAATTATAGATCCCATTTTTTCACTGAAATGCTGCTGTTAGTGGATAGAGCGGAGTTCCTCTTGGTTAAATTATGTCTGTCTGCGAAAATGCAAATAACAACTAAAGAAATCTGTTGTAAGTGTAGAAATGGAAAGCCAGTTCGACTGAATAGTCGAAACACCCCGTATCATAATTCTATCAACTACAGTTCTACTCTGTCTCTGCCATTAGGATTCAGAGGCATCCGAAAATTTTCCCTCTTGTCCCTCTTGGTTATTGATTGACGTTCCCACCTGTGTCTCCAGTTCCATTTCAGATATATCGCTGAGGTTGTTTTCATTTGAAGGCGGTGGAATTTCGTGTTGGTGCACTCCATCAACCCAAAGGTGGTTGAAAGTTATTAATAAAAAAATTCCGAAGTCGTTACGGGGAGTAGACATTCCATCAATTTATGGGTGAAAAATAATACATCTGGCCTGAAAATTGTGTTCCTGAACAGCAGTCATCCTTATGATGCCAACCAGAATTGGCTTTTCCGAATGAGAAAACTTTTTATTCATTAAGAAATACGTGGTAGTCTTGCTGACACCACATTTGGCTCAGTATTCGCGAATTCGCTTTGCTTAGACAAACTCCATTTTCTCAAAGAACGGCAATGTGCCAAGTTTGCGAGTCTAACAAAGTGTTCTGGTATTCACACAGATTGTCCTACTTAGCAGTTTAATTTGACACGGTCTCCTCTTATAGAATGAATTTTAAAAACTTCAACGGTTTAAGAGGGTGCAACTAGACGATGGATTACCTAATTTTACCATTACTGAGGGATTTGATGACCAAATTTGACAGCGAGACTAGTGATGGTTAGGTTCTGTGACGCCACAGGATTATGTTGAACTGCCTGATTTGTGTTAGTAAACTCAATCCATTTGTGACAATATGAGGTATGTTGACACCGCGGGCCTACTGGATTGTGTGTAATTTTGCCCCGAAAGCTGTATTAATGGTTCTAGTCGACCGGAAAACAGATTGAATGGGCGCCTGGATATTGAATGCAAATGTGCTATGGTTATAGCTTCAGGTGAGCTTCCAACTGATCGAATGTACTCGTCACTGATTCCCCGACCGCATTCTCGGGGATCGTTCATATCATTTTCCTTAAATCCGGTGGGTTCATTTCCTGGAAAAAGTTGTCGTAGAAACACTCACCAGACGGTGAGAAACGCGTTCGTCTCGACAGATAATTTATCAAAACTCACCTGATGTCACAATATCTCTTGATGGTTATATAAACATCACACTTGATTCTATTTCTGGATATTTGTATGCCAATTTATTTATTACTTCTCAAATTTTAAAGCAGTGGGTGATAAGTATATCACCTTCTGAACATATACCTTTATTTCATTAAAAAAATGATGAACCCTAAAATTATGTTCTGGAACGTAGACGGAAATGTCTTTACTAGGAGAGCGAAAACTCAGGATAGTCATCCACATTTCGCGTATTTTTGACTTTTATTGTCATGCCTTCACCAAGAACAAGTCCTGAAGTAGGTGGATTCACTCTTACTAAATAGGATTTATTCAATCAATCTGCCATTCTCTGTTGCGTTATGTTGGAACCAAACTCCGTGGTCATGAGAAAGCAATTTATCGGTCTGGTCATAGTGAGCTATTTAGTTATGAGTCATCCACAGTATAAATGGACTTACCTGTGATACAGAAGGACCTGCATGTATTTGGTTTGCTGCTCTGGATTGCAAACATCCCATGGGAAAAATATGCAAACATATTTGCGGTGTTTAGGGAAAAATAGGTCTTCATGTTCCGTTTCCCACATCTTTTATGTTCGGTAGTAAAAGGTTTTGCAAAAAGCTGTACCATGGTCATTTAACCGAGGACAAATGACCGTTTTGTTTCGCCACCATGCGGAATAAAAATGACGCTGTGAAAACGAAATTTGCGTTTTGCTGTTTTGCTCTATTTTTGACAATAAAACGGAATTTAGAGCTTGTTTTAGAGCTGTGGTTTGAATGTTAGGGGCTGCTGTTCACTAGTCACAAGCACAGAATCCCACAAGTCTTTCAAGCCACCTATCTTTGAAAAGCGGGTTTCCGATTGTATCTAGGCAACCGCTCATTCAAAATCCTGTATAGCATTGAATGATGTGACGTTGGTGTTTGCAATAAATACTTGACTTTGCAGGACAAAATATATAAACTAGATTTCAACCGAATTGAATTATTTTCTACATGTTTAGCTGCTGTATATTTTGTTATTGTGTTCCAAACCTCAGCAACTCTCATAATAACTTGTATTCGCTAGATCCTGTAGGATTTAACCAATGAAAGCACGACCTTTGCGGTTCCCTAATATCTAACAGAAATTTGGGTTCCAAAATTATTGAAAATAACTCAGCTGGAACTCTACGGACGTTTCAAACCAATCACAGTTCGTCATTCATCCCGGTTATTTACGAAACATCTGTTGCAAATATTGTTTACTACCGTTAAATATCGCAGTAACAACTTACACCCCATTCATCAACAAGTCGTCAGCTGTCAGAGAGCGGCAGATGTCAGCCAGTTTCGATCTCAGTCGCTTCATCGGGCACAAGAGTAGCTCTGATAATACACATATTTACGCGATACAAGCCACGTAAACTGCACAACTGGACTAGTTAGTTGGCAAACCACCCAGCTTTGATGCTAGTTGTCAAGAGGGAGTATTCTGTAACACATGTAATGTGAAACTCATGTGCACGTCCTGTTATTTGCACCAGAATGGCTGTTTTCAAAATGCTATGTGTTTGTAAGTGACAGCGAAGAAATGTCAGGCCTGATTCCTGCGAAGAAGAATGTCCAAATGAGTCGCGTTAGCATGCTGCCTTACGTTTAGGTATAATGGTTAACTTATATATTTACCCGGCTCTTACAAACACCTTTAATGCAACAAAACTCGGTGTTTGAATGGTTAACTCACCATTCAAATCGACAATGCTCTCTAAGACAAATACTTTGCCGATATTTTTGTAGTAAGTGATATACAGGATGGCTTAAAAACTCAAAAATCAAATAGCCTACACTGAGAAATTTAAAAAAACTACCTGGAACATTTGTCATTTAAATGCTATGTCCTACGTGCTCCTGATTTTGAATGTACCAGATGAACCAATTGAATCTATCTTTAACTATCTATCTATCTATCTTCAACGAAAAAGCGCCAGTGAGTTCACTCTCACATCCCATTGGGCAGATTCGGAAAGCTTCGGAAGACTAGTCGTTTGTCTTTACTTCATGTTTTGCATTTAAATTTAGATGTATCGTTGTACGGCTGAAAGAGTTGGCCCTTCTGACGGGGAATATGAAACAACTTGAGGACGTTGAACACCAGTGCCTCAGAAGTATATTTGGATTCAGATGGAGTCCGCGAATTTCGGATGAGGTGAAGCAGGCAGTACGTGGCTGAGAAAAGTACCCAACACTGTACGCTTAGGTGGCTGAGTTACCACGGTGCCTAATTTGTAGTGGCTGAAACCCACAGGTGGACAGATTTTCTCATGGTAGAAGGGAATAAGGCAAATTACGAAAAGTTAGAGTGCCGTTGGTGCTGTTCATCTTTCAGAATATGGTTAAAGTCACCATCCGTGTGCTCGGATAGATGTATTGAACGACATGGCCTTAAAGCTGTCAGTCTATTCAAAATGTGTGAATGTGTGTGGTAAGTGTAGGCACCTCGGACGCTTGTGATAGACTAAATCTAGGCTGTCCTTCATCTCCCATATTCCTTCTTTTTATAATAAGGCCTTATCCAAATAAACCGACATCGTTGTAAATTAGTGAATCAGCAGTGTTCTCATTTGAATGAATCGTCCAATGAATGATTGATTGTGACACTTTGTTGTTATATCGTGTCATTTTGGATGCTAATCACATATACCGAGTCATTATTGGGCTGAAATAAAAATGAACACTGTGGAGCTGTTTTACTGCCTATCCTCCATTACTTTTGGGAACTATGGAGCAGTTGTAGATCGGCCAGACACCTCCGTGGTTTCAAAGTCAGCCTCAGTAAATGTATGTTAATTCATTTTTTGTACGTCAAACAAATTTTGTCTATTTATGTGTCCCATGTATGCAGGGGATTCTGAGCCCCCAGTCTACTTTCAACCGTTTTAACAGGGGAAAACCCCTAGTAGTTGTCAGTAAAACTTGCAGGAAGCAACAACGATATCTAAGTAAATTGTGGAGTGTGTCAGGACAAAATCCAAATTTTTCAATACACCATCATAAGTCTCTGTCATAGAGGAAGAATAATCTCAAAGATTAGAGGAGCCTCCATCTATTCATACTGTGAACAACAGGTGTACTTTTTGTAACAATAGAATGCTTGGCGTTCTGAGAGATAAGCAAACTGCTGGTCTGCCTCTCGTGACTGGAAGGTTAACTGTTCAACCGCTGACCGAAATGGTCGCGATTTCGAATTTCCTTTGAGTTTCATAACATGCACACTACTGATAACTCCAAAAAAGGATGAAAAATCTGTTTAGGACTTGTCAGGTTTTCAGAATATTTTGGTATTATGGACTCCACAAAATCCCCATTGAAAATTACCCTATCGTTTCACATTAACATCAAACTGCGAAGCGATAGTAATCTACGCACAACACGCAGGAATCGATAATTAACTGCATAAGGATTTTGATCAGTTGCTTCATCGTGTTCAGCATAACTAGCTAGCTGTTTGTATTTCAGTTATGCTTCTTGTGGCGGTTAGTCCCATCAGTTAGACAAGTTTAAGTGCTTGAGTATGATGCACGGGAACGTTTTTTACTCAATTGTTTGCTAGATGGAAGCCAAATTAAGCGTGGGTGTTTGTGTGAAGCGCGCATTCATGTGTCTTGACAACAGGTTGTCAAATTACACACGCGCCGTCTTTCTCTTTAAGTTATTCAACTCAATCCGGTAGCAACAGTCAGCAGGGTCCGTCTTCAGATTAGTTTAATTTTCAACCTTCTGCTTACGTTTCCTTATTATTTCGGAAGGTTTTGCGAAAAACTCGTAATCAGACAAAGGTTTCAGAATACCAACTGTTTCATGTAAACCGTGGTGGCCAAAAATATTCCTTCGTTCTTTGTTTGTCATCAACTGACACTACATGTTTTCTAACACAGATATCTCGCTATGCATGAATTGGACCCGCAAAGTAGAATTTTATAACTTTTTGTTCCCCATTACTTAAAGGTATCCGTAAGGCAGTGCGTTGAGAACTGATCATGTTTGGTTCACTGATAAAGGTGATGGCTATAGAAAACCATAAAATCAACTTTAAATATGCAGAGTTCTGTTTACAAAGCATTGTTGTCACACATATGTGTATAAGTGGTGAATAACTGAAGCTGTGTAATTTGTAGCTATGGTGGCTCGTCATTTAGGAAAAAACGTTTATTGATTGCTACGTTGTGACCCTGAATCCAAAATTGGGACGCGGACGGCGTGCAGAAAAAACGTTTATTGATTGCTACGTTGTGGTCCTGAATGCAAAATTGGGACGTGGACGGCGTAGCCTCAAATGAGTGAGTCTTAGTCTGCGGAACTGATAGCATCCCCTTGAAAAAACGACAATTTCAATTTTGAAGCAACAAATTATATGCCATCCAAGATCAATTGTTACCTACAGGTGTAGTAGTAACGTAACCATCTTATTTTATCCTTGAAAGAATCCTCCATAAAATAAATCTTCTACTTTCAACGCTGTCAACAAACATCCGCACCAATAGTAGACATATATTTCATTGTTTGCCAAGTTATCTCTCCTTTCCTTTAGGTACAACGAATTTGGCCACTTGTCTTTTACTTGATAAAACAGAATTGCTTGCTAAAAGCAAACAACCAATCAGACATGAACTCTTGCATCAACTGTGGCTAGTTTAGCTGCACTGTACTTACTGGAAACCGCGTATAAAACTGCGGTGAATGCTGTGTCAGTTTCACCTATCCAAATGTTGAAGATAAAATAGCAAATACTGTATCATTTCCGTTCGCTTCCATAAAGAGAAGAGATAGCTTGCTCGCGACTCAGATGCCAGAAAGGCTAGTTAGGAGTGCATACAAACTGTATTCGTGCACTTTAATCTTGTGAATGGACGAAAATTTGTAATGAAGCGACGTAGAGGATCGGTGACATCACCACATCTACCGTTTTCAAAAGTTCGCATCTTGCAAAAAATGTGCCACATCAATAAATTATTAGAAATCTCATGTGGGCAAAGCTAATTACAGCCTAAGAGCTGAAAATGTTTCTAACATTTGACCCATAAATCACAGAAGACGCCTCAACTTTTTCATTCTCTTCGAGTCCCAACCTATTACTTCAAAAGACAACTTTGATTTCTTTTTTCAGTAAGTCAGTTTAAAAATCATCGTAATGGTTTTGTGGAGATTTTTCTTCAAAATAAGTGTGAATGATTTTCTTGAAAAAAATAATGGAAACTGAAAACACAATAAACGTATGAGTAGTTTCTTTCAAGAAAATGTACCGAGATATCTCGAATACCGTGTGCTGTCTAGAAGTGTTCAGCAACCTTATGAGTGAAGTATAACGTCTATACATGTATCGCGATATATAGAATATCGTACCAACTGAAACATGAGGCGGCCTGGTGCAGCACATTTAGTTGCTTAAAAAGCCACAAACGAGAGATTCAGTTTGGTTCCAGGTTAGTCTCCCGTCAAAATCGAATTGGTGTGTAAATGAATGTATTTTGCTTATTTCGTGCAATTCAAGTGCAAGTAGAACATAAGGCTGACGAAAACTCGAGAATGGCCCTTAGGTGATGAGCTTCAAGAAGGTAAGGCCGGTCGTAGGCTGTCGAGGAGTTTTCAGCAACCTTATGAGTAGTGTACTGCGCCCATACAATTATCAACCTTATTTCTAAAAGGACAATATGTATATAATTTTCGTTCTCAATGAATGCCTTTGAATGACAAGAACCTTGCATTTGGGAACAGTTTTTGTCACTAAAATTCCGATAAGAGTAATGGTTACTCCAGTGCTCTGACCAGGGTACGGGAAACCATGACTGAGAGCCCATAGTAGCTCTCCGAGATGGAGTAAGCTGCTACACACAGAGCGAACCTGTGACACGATCCACCAATCGCATAGCTCTATGAACTTGCAGGAAAAAACATCCGATTACAATGACACATGTATGGTAAACCAATTTAGCCACAAAAATCTATATGCAGATAAAAAATCACGAATAACTTGTTTCATTTGGTCGTTGGTACGTTTGCTGAGCAGGGCAATTTGATTGCAAACGTTTAATCACCCATCGAGGTGACACCATCATGGCCTCGTTAGGGTGAGTATTGAAGCGCATGGATTGATCGGAGGCTTTGGTTGCGGGTTGTAGTTGTGCTTCACTCGAGTTGTAAATCGCAGTCCCGGTCACCTGGGTCTTTTCCTCGTCAGTACCAGCTACATTTATATACCAATACAAGACGTGGTTAGAGTGCAAATTCGCTACAGAACTCTTCGCCGTCACATTTGTTTTACCCCGACCTTTGAGATTGTTTATAAGGTCAATCTAAGTAGGTATATCTGAAATACTCATTTTTGCATCCTGCATGGATAAAAGCCTACAAGTGACCATTTAGTGTGGCCGTTGTTTTATGTGGGTCTTCCAGCACAGGAATCACTAAAAATGACAGTAAATGTAAGAAGAAAACGGAAAACCAGTCTTCAGCATAATTGACAAAAATTCTGCCGGTTTTACAGCATCCAAACAGGTCTGTGGATCAGTTATGCTTATTTGTAAACCTACCGATATTTATTGCAATAGCCCTTCAGTACAAATACCTAACAAATCGAAATTTTGGCGCCCGAAAGACATCAAAAAACCATTAACCGTCATGGGGCTAGGTTCCCTAATCAATAAAAAAGAATGCTGAGTTAAGCGTCTAGGTTACGTTTGAGTATATGCATATTAATTCTTGAAAGCTGTGCGGAAGAAACATTCTGCACTCGGTAATTTAGGCGTCCTATTTATATTAATTATAACCAGTGACCTGCATGCCAGAAGCATACAAACATAAACGCCAACATTCTTTTGGTTTTAAGGACTTTCACCAAGTTTTTCGAGTGTTGGGATTACGTTGATATTCCTACCTTATTCGATGGGGCCAAGCAAGTATGTCTGAGTGCCTCGACGGCTTTCCAGTGGATTCCGTACGCTTCTCCATTCTTGAAAATTACTACACATGTTTCGCGGCCAACCATAACCAGAGTTTTAACAGTGACTGCGACTGTCTCACTGATATCTGGTTGATCATCCACAGCGAGCGTTTACGAATCTAGCCAACGTCCCTGCTCCAGTTAACCCCATACTGTCAAGTTCATCCCATGTATTATTCAGCATCCTAGCGTTTCTGAAAGAAGTCACGTGTTATTCACCTACTACCTCAACTTCTCACGACTCACATTCTCTGAGGGTGAATTTTGTGGCATAGTAACTTGGTTTCCTTACGCCTTTCGCCACTTATAGTTTGCTTAAGCTGTTTCTGCAAAACTTCCAAGTTTTCCGCTGAAGCTTCTATTTTTTCTCACGCTAAAAACGCGTCCAAACCAAAAGTAATACAGCCTGTAGTAAATGGATATGGCCCTTTTAACTATCCATTTTACTGGCTAATCACCAGCCAAATTATTGTAGTGTTAACAACTTCTTTGATGCATGACACCACCAACAGTGGACTGATTGTAGCCTATTAGCACTTAGGGCTTTCTGACACCAAGAAGACTGTAGAAATCCTCACTGAATTAACTCTAACGAGGTGTGACACCACCAACAGTGGACTGATTGTAGCTTATTAGTTTAAGGCTTTCGGAAACCTAGGAGGCTGTAGAAATCATCATTAATTTTAGTCTGACGAGGTGTTCTGTGATGTGTGGGTACATTCTTAAATTTGCAATTAATAGAAATACTGTCGAATACTTATTTATACACCAGGAACTACTTGTCCACGAGAACTGCTGTACTGTGGTCCCAGTGGAAACTTTTGGAAGACGTTTGCAACTGACCCATATTGTCCTACTCTATGTCATATCAAACAGCCGATATCGGCAGGAACGTAGTTGCTATATTCTTAAAAGTTGGACATCCATCGGCTTGTTGAAGGGCAACTTTGGAACAGTCGTGCATTCAGTACAAACAGAAGAAAATCCTAATTAAGGGAAGTCCAAAAAGCTAAACTGTTCCCCAATTGTTGCAGAATTTTAGAAGATGGTTTATGCATTCCGCTGCCGCATGCAGAATTGCCACTTTCACCCTGGATGCTCCCATACGAAATAGAACAAACTCGATCGAACGCAAAGCCCATAGCAGAACGTATTATGCAACGCTTCCGCTTACTTATGTCCCATCCTTTGACAAGCTCTTGTTTATTATCAGATTTACTATACGTGATAACCTGACAGACTGAATCATACCGCACATCTACTGGGCTAATGAGCGATATATTGTCTACGATGACATTCTTTCGATGCGGTCAAAGTTGGCCTCAGTCCCAATCACATTTCGTTATCACATGGCGGCTCTTAATTGTCCACACCACATAGAAGGGGACTGAAAACCAACAAATTCGTGGCGCAAATTTTTCAGACTAATCCCAGTTTCAAAATCGATATTTCGTAAGGGTGAAGTCATCACGGGACGCAATTTTACTCGTTCTCTGAGCTGCGCTCAGTTGACCTTGACATCAGTGGGTACAGAAAGCAAAACGAAACAACCGCAGCTTCGCTAGTAACTGTTGCTAAAAGACACTTGACGTGAGTTAGGGAGTGACACTATTTAATTTTTGGTGTAGTCAGGGTGCGTTATCCTTGTAGCACTTTATTCCGTCCAATTTGCCACCTCCAAATAGCGCTCAGAGAGTGAGAGAAAGAAAAATACACTGAATATTATTGATGAAGTTCGCGAAGTTAAATGTTAGATTCAAGGACAATGAAAACATCCGCATTAATAGCGAACTTCAGTCCGGTAGCCTGTCATACTGAAGACGGTGGTGGAAACCACCGTGCGCAGATGGAAAGCTGCGATCGGCATTAACGCATCTAAGACACGGTGTTGTTTTTGATTGTTTTGAGAGAGTACCTTTCTGAGAGTGCAGGACAAAACACTGTTCCACTACCGAACCATGTTCAACACCTCACTTATAACCTATTCAAGTAATATGGGCAATACACTGTTGACAGAGACGTTCCGTAGCTGCTGACTTCTCCTCGCATTTTGGCGTGAGAAATCGTATGCATCGGCTAAATCTTCTCATTCGCTCACCAATTTTGCTTTGACCGACGACTCAGCGGAATCTCCACGAAAACTCTCGTTTGCGACACTCTTCAACTTAATCTACAGCACAAAGACCTCATTATACTGCGGTTGTTACGACATTTTATGTAGAGCAGTATACCGTTTTGAAGAGGACCATTCAGAAGAATCGTAAAAACGCTTTGAGTGTCCACGATCGGTTTTGATCTTAATTGAGACCCGTAGCATACGGGCCGTTCCTTAATTCCCTGCATAATTGTGTTCATTACTGATGTTCATATCACCCCCGTTCGAACAGTCCTCCTGGTTGAATTGTTCGGGTTTCTGTGCACCAAATCGAAGTTGCACTGACCTGAGTTTCATTTCGCATTGGAGCTCATAGGGTACATACCGTTTGATTGTGATGTTTTGGAAACCATGCTCTTAATGTACGTGACGAATATACTACTGTCTCTAAACCAGCATATCCCACTATCGATATCCATTCATGGAGACCAGAAAGGCCACAACTTCAATCTGGTATGCGGAGACACGAGACATGGAAGATAATTTCTCGAAACATGGTACACCATGACGGATTTGATCAACCGATGCATTGAACTGGATCAACTACGTGCAAATATCCAACACCTTACCCGGAACATTCAAGGAGAGCCGAATATCGGATTCGCAGAACTGGAAACAAGGAACTCATTGGAGAGGGATCGAGACAGAGGTCACTCCAGCATTGACCAGAGTACAAGGGCATGAGAGGGCCAGCTCAAAGGTCACTTGTCCATCGACCAGTTAGGAAAAAGGATAACTATTAGTGGTCGAATGTCAGTCCCGGCTAGCATAAGCCATACGCAACACTACTCAACGCACAACCACCAACACATCGCTACGCTCCATAACGTCCCCTATCCACCTTGATTAGTGATAGAACATTTGCGATCAAACTGCCCAGTGCAGCGAATCAACGAACGACCATTTGGGCTACCTGAGCCACCAACATTCTCCTTTATAGCAAACCAGTGTGCGCTGAACATACATGAATTATCATGCTTTAGCAAACAAACATGTTCACAGGAGGCTTATGTCAGAAGCGGCGAATTAAACGCTATTATCTCTCCCAAAACGTTCGAGGGCTGGTTGGAATTTGAAATAGTTATGGCAAGCAAGGAAACCCTACTGAGGTTTGCAGTCAAATGTGATATGGTACAGTGTATGAACTGCACGACAGCGGTATAGTACAAAGGTAGTTTTCAGAGAGGCTGCCGTGGCTTCATCCGGTCGTGCAAGTCTTAGCTTTATCGGTAATCTTGGAGACAGCTGAAATCAAAACTACATAAAACTTGCTGTAGAAGAA